ACGTGAAGGAGGTGACACTGGCAAGGTGGCTCCTGCACACCTGGCTGGAGTGCTGCAGCAGCAAATATAATGCATAATGGGCTGTGAGTGGGTGCAAAGAGGAAAGAAGTGATTTCTCATGGGGCTTTGGGGCTGTAACATTGCCTTGCAGCCTGTACACGGGCACTCATCCATCTTTTTCAACACAGGCAGGCCACGTTAGCATTTGATGTGTGACAGCGGCAAGGCTGGGAGTGCACCAGATGATGCGCAAAAGATGTGTCAAAGAAAAAGGAAGCTGTTTCCTGCTGTTAAGGAACTTTCTTTCAAAGGGAAGTTATTTGGAGGTGGATGCAATGGGCCGGCGTGAAAGTCTCCATAGGATGCTGTAGCTACGAACCCTCTCTTGTGACACCGGGCAGGGAGTACAAGAAGAAACAGACCTATTGTAGATGCACTCTGAAGGCAATGAATGAGTAACCACTAGGACTGGGATTGCATTAAAACCCTGGAAAGCACAAAGAAAAAAAAAAAAAAGTGCTTTTCTTTTTATTGAGTGCATCAGAGGCTTCCAGCTAGGAGGGCACAGTGTCCTGCTCCTCACTCTAGGCTGCAGCACGCAGCAGAGAGCAGCTCTCCTTTGACCACACAGGGCACGCAGTCAGGAATTCAGGCAGCTTGGGACTGTCTACGTTAGAGCCTGAGCATCCCATCCCGAAATCAGGAACCTCAGGTAACTCAGCAGCACTGCAACACCCACAAGATTGCTGGACTACAGACACCCCACGAGCACAGCGACCCTAGGGCAAAATTCTGGCATCTCCTCCTAGGATGCTTTCGGGCTCCTTTGGCTTGTCCCAAGAGGAACAGATCGATAGTCTGCCCTGACTGGCAGCGTCATAAAACACCCCATGAATCCACGGGGATTTCTGCCTAACCTTGGCTGAGGATTGGGTTTGGGACGGAGCCAGGAGGATGCGATCCAGCCTCATCCCATGACCCGCAGCATCGCTCACCTTCTCCATGCCCAACCTTGGCATACACGGGGCACCTTCCTCCACAGCAAGGTCTGCATTTCTTAAACGAGATAGGTTAAAGGCTTTAATTACTGAAACAGATGATCTCTCCCAAGGGAAGGTAAGAGTGTCCTTGAATTAAAACCACAGATTCCTGAGGCTTTTTCTCTTCTAGGAACGAAAAGCTCTTTATGCAAATATTTGTGAAGGCTCAGAAGGTCTCTCAAGAGCAGTTAATATAATGCCTACATTTATTTTATATTGTTACGCTCTTCTTGGAGACACAGAAGCAAAGAAAATTTGGTGGCAGGAGCCTGCCAGCCCCTCTAAGAGCAAGGGATGAGTCCCCTGGCAGCACAGACTGGCCACATCCCTCTGGTGCACCAAACCACGGTGGGTGAGAAATAAAAATCTGGTGGTGGGCAAGAATGTGAGAAAACATAAAATGATTGCATCCATCGACCCAATCCTGTCCCAGCAGGAGAAAGAGGGAGCACCCAACCAGATCCTGCCTGGGCTTTAACTTGGTCAGGGCTAAGCAGCTAATAATTACTCCAGATGAATACCCTTGGAGGAGAGCCAGAGAATCCCAAATCATTCTCTGATTTCAACTTTCAATTACCCAGCCGGTGCTAAGCTCATTAATCATACTTGCAGCACCCAACACAACAGAAATGAGTCCCTGATCCTCGCCCCTCTTATTTGATGGTGTGAGGAGTTGGGGGCAAGAGGAAGAGAAAAGAGACGCAGGGGTGCCACCCACGAATCTAATAGTCACTTGTAGGGGCTGGGATTAATAAATCAAAAATCCATTATTAATAATACCGGCTTAAATATCTATCTAAATGCAAATGAATGAACACCGGGGGTTTCTTTCCTTTTTTTTTTTTTTTTTTAAATGTGTTCTAACAACTCTGTCTTGGAGGAAGCACATGCCCACATGATAATTGTCGGTTTTAATTGCAATTTTACAGTTCAACCCTTCACGGCCCATGGATTTTAAGTGGCCTTTAAAGGGCCACAGCATCTTTTGGATGGGATTGAAAGCTCAGGTGGCTGCAGTAACAGGCAGGAGCTCTTCAAGTTCCCTGCCTCTGTGCCTGTTCAGTCACATCAAATAAAAGGGGATAAATCCAGTGGTTGGTTTGCTGCAGTGGAGGTTGGATCCCCAAGGTCTGCAGCCTCAGATGGGTGACTGGGGACACTGGGGACACAATCTTGGAGCAGGAGCATGGAGAGCCAGCAAAGGAGCCAGATTAAGAGACAGAAGTGTCTTCTGAGTAAGCAAAACCATGGGAAATTGTCTTGGCCTGTGTGGGGAATATGGCAGGGAGAAAACCATGGGATATGAAGCTGTAGAGCCATTAAATTGGTCAGAGCAGGGAAATAGGATTTTCTGACATTTGCCCACTTGCACAACCATCATATGAGACCAAATAGTGGGCTAATTTCCAATTAAGAGAGAGAGAGAGGTGGCAGGAAGAAGAAGGTGGGAGCAAAGGGGAACCCACTGTAAGTGCAACTGAACCTCAGGGTTTCCTGAGTCTCCAGCCATAATCTCAAAATGTACCAGACACCAAACCCAGGGGAACCTAAAGAAACCCTTACTCCAATCAGGAAACAAGTATCAAAAACCGTGATCTAAACCCCTCGAGAGCTCCAGGGTGCAGCTCAAGCTGGAGGTGGGCATTCAGTCCTGGACAATAGGGTTTGCAGAGTTTGCCTTTCATTAGACTTTCCCAGGACACAAGCAGTGGTAGCAAATCAGCTTTAAAACCTTGTGCAAACAGCTTTGCAGCTCCCCTTGCCAACGCTCACGGGATCAGGTCTAGCTTTGCAACATCCCCTTGAAAAATCTGCTGACACCAGCATTTTGGAGATTTTAACTGCTTGAGACTGCAAATGTTGTTTGAAAACAAGTGTGTGCGTGCACACACACACACACAAAGACTAGTCTTAGCAGCAACATTTGTGCAAACAATCTGCTAGGGTTTTGGAAACCACCCATGAGAACTGAACCCCAATGGCAGTGCCAAGAAATTGCCTGCTTCGCTCTTAGCCCATCCTTCGATGCCATGGGTCAGACTGAAATATTCCTAACATCCCGTGCCTGCAGAGAGACAACAAGAAGCTGAACAAGCTGCCAAGCCTTGGGAACAAGCATGTGGAGCAGCCAGAACTGCCAGGACAAGGCGGAGGCGATGGGCACTGGTTTGACCTCAGATATGCAGTGGTATCCAAGCTCCCCGAGCCACGTCCAGCACTGGGCAGTCCTTTGTGCTTCTCACACCGGGCAAATTTCAATGCCAGCTCCAGCAGATGTGTTTCCACTCTGAATGCCCTCACCCCACCTCAAATCCCTCCATGTGCAGGATGAATTTTGTTTTTTCCTTTCTCATGCTACAAATAATTCAAGGGGGTAAGTAAGAACGAAATACCCTCAACCTTCTGGATACAACCCTCTCGCTGGATAGGGTTATACAAGCAAAAAGTGTGGCAGAAAAAAAAATAATACACAAAACCAAAAAACTCAAGCTGGTGTGAAGACCAGAAGAGGCATTGGTTCCAGCTTCTAATTTGGCTTTCCAAAAACAGAGTAGTACACAAAAGCTTTAATCTCAATTAATTCCTACAGGACAGCTCCTGTCCAAGCTTCCTCCTGAGCCTGCCCACCTATAGACAACCCTCTCTTTTTGGCTGACCTACAGATTGAATCTGCTCTCTGGCATGTAGGCAATACAATACAATCCCCATTTATTAATTCCATCCCTGTCCTGCTGCGTGAGGTCAGCAGAGCACTCAAGGTCCACACCCTGCTCTTGAATACCAACCATCCTCGAATGCTGGAGCAATTTCCATGGTAAACCAGAGGGACCAGCACTGCCCTGGTGGATAACACGGATGTGGTTTCACAAGCTCAGAGTTCCCCTGGGTTCCTCAGCTTTCATTTGGATCCACTCACACATGCCATATTAATCACAGACCAACAAGAACTGACTGCAAATATGTTGCCCGCCTGTGTGTGTATATGCTGCTTAATGGAGCATGAAAGGGGAAGAATAAAATCATTTTTCAGATGCTGCAGATAATAATAATAAATAATAATAAAAGCAGAGGTATGCACCAGGGGAGAAGCTGAATGTAAGCAGAAAAGGAGTCAGGTCAGTCCTCAAACTGAGATGCAAAAGTTAATGAAGTAAAAACACCATTAAATCAGACACTTTGGGCCCTCGTTAAGTTCATTCAGGATTTGAGACCACACTTTTGGAATGCTTTTTTTTTGCTTTTTTTTTTTTTTTTCTCTAGCAATTATTTTCCATACAGACTTTATGGTCCTGAAACATTTATAACTTTGGATTTTTTTTCCCTGCTAGGCACTATCACAACACTCAAGGCAGCTATGGCAGGAACCCTCATGGAAATCACATTACTATATCTCAGTCGCACAACACCTACTTCACCACGGCAGGCTATATTTGCAACAAAGAGCTCTGATTTTGCATTATTCTTTAGAGCCACCGTGATCCTATGTCTCAGTTCACGTATTCCTCATGTTGTAACATCCAAAGTTGGAAGAGCCAAAATGAGAAGCCACTCTTGTAAAACGTGGGTTGGGGTCAAAGGAATATACAAACCTCCCTTCCTGTGAGCAGAAGTAGATATAACATCCCTGCTCAGACTGATATGATGCCCTGTTGCAGGTACACGATGCTCTTGGCACACAGATCCCTTCATGAGCTACACTGACAAACCTGATTTTAGTTCTTTAAGTATAAAACCCAGTTCAATAATATACAACACCAGGAGAGATGCATCTGTGTGAAGGAAAGATTGTTCCCCACCAGGGCAAAGGGCTTTGCCAGTTGTGGAGGTTGATGCAGGAAAAAAAATGAGTAAAGAGTTCAAGCGACTACAACAGACTGACACATCACTGCTAAAATTGTGAGGAATTCACCCCAAAAGCACATAGGCCCATGAGAGTAAAGAGAAAGCCACAAAACTCACCCTTCATTTTCGTCCCACAGGATGCAGGTCTGGTTGGTGGTTCCCTGTCAGGAAAAAAAGAAAGAGGAAAATGGAGCACATCGGTGCTGTGCTGTTTATGGGGTATTTGGAGCAAGAGGAGAGAACTATTCAGGTCCTGCTGAACAGTTTCCACTACTTTAAGCATGGTGTGTCTGATATGGAGCACAGATATGAGGCCTTGGAATAGCTTCTTTTACCCTTGGGTTGAAAGGTGAAAATAAAATGGGCCTCGCTTTGCTCTCCATCAACACAAGGACTACGCAAGGGTTGGACTCCAAATACTGTCTCTACCTACTGATATTCTTCCTCATCCCTTCTCTCATACAGAATCCTTTTGCTGCTCCCTTCTGGAAAGTGGATCAAGTACACCACGTCCTGCTGTGGGACACAGTTCTCTGAAGAGCCACAACCCTATAGGGGGCGGCCAGGTGTGGTTAAAGCCCCTGAAATACATTTATCATTACTTCTTCTGCAGCTGTCTTTGTGCACTTTTGAAAATTCTTCCTGGAAGGTCCAAAGCCAATACATGACAGATCTAATACTCATGTTCCAAAGCCTCAGGAGGACATCTGAAATCCACAACAAGAAGGGACCTGGGGGTATGTAAATGTCCATCATGTACATCTGCTTGGGGTTGGCCAGGGGACCCTAGAGGGGATCTTCATCTGCCTTTTACAGCACTGACCACAACAATAATATTCAAGTCTCTAGTGGTATCTGCAAGGAACATTGCAAGCATCAATCAGAACAACCTTTCCCCTCCCTCTTCCTTTACCCAGGAAGATCACTGTCATAGCCTATTTTCTGATGAATGTACATTATTTTTTTTTGCCCACAGCTGTGCCTCACAGTGAAATGATGTGAATGTGGGTCAAATATGCCCGTGTTTCCCCATGCAAGCAGTGCCATCATGCTCCTCCTGCCTTGGCAAGGAAGAAACAAAACACAAATGTGGGGTGGTGCAGCTTCCCAGGAAAGACTTACATTGTACAGGTGGGAGAATTCAATTTCCAAGGGGGTGAGGAGAGACCGGGGAAATGGCTTCACAGTCACAGAGATGACCTTGGAGTTTAGAACAGTGCTGTTCCTGGGAAGAGAAGTGAGAAGATGTGCTTTAATGGCCACTGGGGGAAAGTGCTGAATCCCACTGCGTCCCTTTGCAAAACGGAGAGTCCCACTTCATTCATCAGTGGTTGTACAAGCTTTAGTGAATACAGTGCAGAAAGAACGAGCACCATTACTTTAAAATGCCATCAAAGACACCTGCTGGTGATGGACCCTGCCCTCTGCCCCTTCAGCTCTCCGTGCAGCCACTCTGCATTTATTTCCCTGGGAATTAGACCATTTATGAAATGCGTTATGGACCCCTGCAGCTACTGGCCTTAAAAGCCATATCTACCCTGGCAAGAACATGGTCCCAGACATATTTTCTGGCCCTGACATGAAGAAACAGAGTTCATTTCATATCCTTACAAAAAGAAAAAAAAAAATCTTTCTTTCTTTCTTTTCTTTCCTTCTTCTTTCTTTCTTTCTTTCTTTCTTTCTTTCTTTCTTTCTTTCTTTCTTTCTTTCTTTCTTTCTTTCTTTCTTTCTTTCTTTCTTCTTTCTTTCTTCTTTCTTTCTTTCTTTCTTTCTTTCTTTCTTTCTTTCTTTCTTTCTTTCTTTCTTTCTTCTCTCTCTCTTCCTTCCTTCCTTTCTGTCTGTCTTTCTGTCTTCTCTCTTTCTCTCTTTATTTTCTCCTCTCTTTCTCTCAAAATCTGCCTCAATCTGCCTTGCAGTACAAGTTTGCCATGGTGGCCTTTAACAGGTTGTAGGACACCACGTGAAGCTCATTACCAGAGGCACTGACATGTATCTCCAGCCTCTGAGAATCAAAAGAAAATGCAAAGAGGCCAAGCCTCTCATGTGTCGCTGCCTAAATGTCCATGCTAGTCAAATAATTTATTAATGCTGTCAGGCCTAGGAGATTCGTCTGTTAAGAGGGGCAGGCAGGGAGGGGATACCTCCCATAGCTGCGCTGCTGGTCCCTAAAAAGACAAATTCTTTGTAGGCACTTCACAGGATACTGGACACCTAAATACACAGGGAATCCCACTATTTCTGCAGCAGGTGTCTGAGTATGTAAAAGGTCCCCATGGCCAGCAGCTGACAAGGCTGGGTAGGAGAGTGGGACCAGTATCAGACTGCTCCCAGCTCTTCTTGCACTGATGGAAATCTCTCCCCATCCAAAACTTCACTAAGTCTACTGACATTGGCAAAACCATTCGCTTTTCTGTCTGGGTCTTATCCTCCTTTTACAAAAGGATTTACTAAAAAAGTATTGTACTTGCTTAAGGGCAGGTGGGTTTAAAATAAGAATAAACATAAAATTTAATAAAAAGAAACATAAAAAGAACACCAACATCCAAAATAAAACAAACTTGGAATCATCCAAGGATGTGCAAGTGGATGTTCAGAAAGACATTATTGCAGACCAACAGCAGAGGGAACACCACTATTTTAGAAAGTTAGAGAAAAAAAAATCATTAAAATCAAAATGAAGAAGCAACGAAGCACAAAAACCAGTCTACAAAGGATGAGTAAAGGGGGAAGTCAATGGGAGTAAATGTCAGCTGCAAGCTTTAAAATATAGGCAGCTGTAGAAAAGCCAAAAATACTAGAGCTGCTGAAAGGCAAACATCCATGCATGGCTTCATTAGTAGCTGGGTCTGGAAGGGTCAGGTCTTGGTTCAGCACTCTCCAGTGTTCGTGTGAACAACCAATGTGGCATGGAAACATCCTTTTAAAGGCTGCAGACCACACAAAGATAGGTGTTGCAAATAAAAGCAGAAAGATTTTCAGTGTGGTAACTCGCTAGCACACAGGATATGCTCTCATGCAGAGTGAAGTCATCCCAGCCCAACCAGAAGTTATTCCCAAGCAACATCCCAGAAACACATCTGCACCTGAAAAATGCATGCTCTGAGCACAGAGCTACTGGTTCTGCTCAGGGCTATCTGGATCCGAGGGGACAGGGAAATGTATGGCTGAGGTAAGGGATTGCTGCTTGGGGAAGGTAAATTGGGACAATTAGGAAGAGCTCAGCTGGTGCAGTTTGCTGAATTAAATCTACATTTTTTTTCCTTAAGGGAAAATCACTCTGCACTGAGCCGATGTGGTCAAACCCAGGATGAGGGTCCTTAATGGTCATGTGTACCCAGGAATAGCTGCTCTCCTTTGTGGTCAGAAATATTTTTACCCTGTAGGCAGGTACTACACGGCTGCATGGTTATTTAAAGACATTCCCCTTTTTTCTTGCTGTGTCCATTTGCACGGCGGTGAATTAAGAGGTACTTCTCTGCTGCTGCTCCTATTACATCTTTTTTTTTTTTTTTGGCCTCGTATAGCCACAGGTGATTCAGGGCTCTGGATTTTTTAAAGAGGGACAGTCCTTTAATTAAGGAATGTCTTAAATCAGTTCTCCCACAGGAACGTTGCTGAGCGGCGGCGGTGCTGCAGCTGCTGGTTTTCAGAGCTCATTCACTGCTTGGCCAGAAAACACTGAAATACCGCTGGATCATTTGAGCCAATGATGTTTATTGCCCTTCTGATCTAATTCCCAGCGCCGTAATGGAAGATATTACAGAATACAGTTGGCTGGCTTGTTAATTCCCCTCTGCACTCACTTGGAGCTCTTTTGCCATTGCCAGTGCTAAATCTGTAGGTATTTAAATGATTATCAGTGAGAAGAGATGCCCTGGTGTTTATGGTAAATGGGCTCACGCTAATCAGTGCAGAACAGATTTAGAAGGTGCCTTAGGATGCTGAATTTACTGCCTCGGTCCCAACCTCAGAAAAAAATAAATAAAGAAAAGAGTGAAATAGCACGAGAAAGGGAAAAGAAAAAGGAAGGGAGTGCTGAACACAAAAGCTTGGGTGCCTGAGGCGTGTTGCAGTGGCCGGGAACGTGGTAGACATGTGCGGCCAAGCGTGCTGCTCCACTGTTCGCCTCTCCCAGAGACTGTCTTCTGCTGAGATGCTCCTGAAGGGCTCGCTGGGGTTGGCAGCTCCCCAGCTGGTGGCTGGTCACCCGTGTTCCTATATCTTAAGCTCCCCAAATCCCTGGGGATGGGGAACCCCTTGGAGAGGGGTGGTGGAGAGCAGGAATCTAGCAGGCAGGGGCGCAGCAGCACCAGCACCTTGCTTCCCCTTCTGCCAGGGCTGCATGGACAGGACAAAGCCTTCCTGCCCCTGCAGCAAGCAAATCTAATATAGATGAGCATGGTCCCACTGAATATTGGTTTGTGGAGGGCAAAACATTTGCATGACTGAGCCAAGACCTGCCACATTGCACCTTTGGTATTTTCCTGGAAGACCAGGGGCGGCAGATGCCCCTTGCCTCTTGTCCTGTTGCAGGACACCACAGACAAGAGCCTGGATCCGTCCTCTCCACATCTCCCTGCAGGGCCACAGGGATGTGGGGGAGCTCCCCTGGAGCCTCCTTTTCTCCAGGCTGAGCAGCTCTCACAGACTCTCCTCATAGCAGGGGGGCTGCAGACCCTCCAGAACCTTGGTGGCCCTGCTCTGGGCTCTCCCCAGTATGCCCAGGGCTCTCCCCAGTGTGCCCAGGACTCTTATACTGGATCCAGCACTAGGTGTGGCCTCACCAGCTCTTACCTCTGGAGTGAGAGGATGTTGCCCACATTCCGGTACAGCACAGTCCCCACCACGAAGACAGAAGAGTCGTCTGCCTCTGCAAGACACCAGAGGAAAGGGGAGAAGAAAAGAGCACTGAGACAATCGGGATGTCGTCTGTCCCCCCAGCTGACCCCTTTTTGCCCCCCAGAACCCACCAGGACAGCACATGGGGCATGGCAGAGAAGGGGCTGGATCCAGATCTGTGCTTCCTTCTCCCCTTGCCCCATGACAGAGAGAAATGTGTGCCCCAGAAAGTGTCAGCCAGGTGCAGGACTGGACCTCTCATGGGGGTTTCTGCCATGGCACAGCCATTGCCAGCATCACTGTGGTGGGATGCAGGTGCTGCTATCACCACATCAGGTCTCCATGGGACAGAAGGGAGGAACGAACACCTTTGGGGTGACGCTGCTTGCCTGCAGGCAAGGTTTATTAATCCTGACTTTTAATTTAATCCTGGTGTCTTCCCCTCCAGAAATCCCACTAATCCCTCTGACAGTACTACAATGGGCAACATGTGTAGGGTGAGAAGGTCTCTCGCAGCCACCCAGAGGCATTCAGCCTTGTCCTCAGCCACTGAGCTGTCAGAGAAGAGCTGCACGCGGGCCGACAAGGGCAGCTCAGGAGGGGAGATGCCCTGCAGTGCCTGGCCTGACCCCATCACTCGTGTGATGCCTCGGGAGGCTGCAGGGGCCGTGGTCCCAAAGGAGCCTGGATGCTCTGCGTGACCTCCGGGCACTCCGCTCAGCCTCCTCCTGCACCCCACACAGCCCAGATAAAAACAGCGAGAGCTTTGCTGGGCAAAGAGCAGGCAGCAGGGACAACCCCAAGGCTGAGTTGTAGAGGGAGAAATAAATCACTTGGAGATGAGGAAAGCCAGGGATGCAGCCTGCTGTGGGGCTTCTCTGGTGTCTCATACTTAGGCTGAGACTAGAATGCACCCACTCCCTCAGCACAGGGCAGAAATGACTCTGGATGTTTCTTTTTTTTTGCAAAATTGGGCTCAATTGAGGTGGGTGGAAGACAGGGAAGACTGACAGGCTTTCAGAGCAATCACATAAGCATTGCTTCTCCAGGAAAGCTGACAGTCTTTTGGCCTTTCCTGTGAATCCCTGTGTAAACACAGGGATCCTGCAGCCTTTAGAGAAAGTCTTCCCCTTGGTGCTAATTGAATGCAGTAGGACATTTACCGAAGAAAATGTGTGTTCCTATAAGACTGTGAGCAAGCAAAACCCTACATCCCACAGTCTGGGATATCCCAGCACCCTCCCAAGATGGCAAAGGATCTTGGCTGTGATAGAGCTGGAGGTTTGTAAGCCTCAGCTGCTCATCCTTAGATGGCTCTTCCAGGACCAGATCCAGTCTTGGAGGACACTTACAGCACTGTTTGCTTACATGGCCGTTCCCCTATTACATCTGCCTTTCAGTGCTCATTAACCGTACTTATAAGGTACCAACAGAGACAATGACTTGTGCTTTCCCATATTAGAAACCCAGCATATTCAAGGAGGCCTGAGAGACTCATTTCAACACGCCCTGAAGATGATTGTGGATGGAGCTCAAAACCCATATGCACCAAGAAATGAACAACCCTGTGCAGACACAAGCTTTTTTTTTCACTTCTTTGCAGGTTCAGAAGCCTTGTAAGAAGCAATCATCAAGATAGCATTGCCCTGATTTTTTTTTTTTTTTTTTTTTTTTTTTTTTTTTGTGCTGACTCCTGCTCTGTTTCAAACATGCTGCTGATTTAGGAGAAGACAAACATTCAAACCCATGCACTGAGACTGCTCCTGGACTTGGGCAAGGCATTCACACTTGACCTTCAGTCTGACCACATTTGAAAGCTTTATTTGCACTCAGAAATGATACGATGAGCTTTTGTGAGCAAGCTCAGCTGGGAGGAGAGCTTGGAGACCAGCCAAATGGAAGGAACCTCTCTTAGAAAATGAAGAAGGTATTTTCTCCTGGAGTGCTTCAACTGTGCTGCCTACCTGCCAGCCCTGAAGACAGGATGCTCTTGGAGACAGTGACCTTGTCCTCCGAATTCTTGGCCCAGTCCACCATGCCCCTCCAGCCTTTCATGGGGAAGGTGATGTCAGTTGCTGCATTAGCGGGCAGCTTGTGAATGCCGAGGACTAGAGGGAAGGAACAGATAAATTCAGTAAGCAAGACCAGCCTCAGTCAATTCACACATGCTGAAAAAAACGCTGGAGGAAACAGTGGGAAATCAGGTAGCAGAACCATGAAGGTGGATCTTAGTAGCTCCAGGAAGAATGCGATCTTCTTTATGCATGAAGGAGGGAGACATGAATTGTTAAGTCTCATGCTTCTGCTCAGTGAAGGACCTGTTTGCACTAAACCTGGCAAAAGAGAGGTCTTTCTGCTCCTACACCACATCTCCAGGAGTGGACAGAATTTGCTTTGAGAAGTACAAGAAAGAAAACCAAGACTTCTCTGGATGTGTCCTCCCAGCAGTCAACAGACTTCCTCAGCTAGGGGTTGCATCCAGACCATCAACTTTAGCAGCCACCGGTGGACCTCTCCTTTGTGCATTTTCCTAATCCCATCACGAACCCATCTGTACTTTTTGGCTTCTTGCAGCATCCTCCAGCCCCAAGCTCCATGCTGCGGTTGTGCTTACAGCATAAATCAAACGCTGCCTGCTGTTCGCCTGCTGCCTGATCACTTCATTGGCTGCTGTGCGGCTCTTGTATTAAAAAATAAAAGGAAGCAGCTTAATTCTTCCCAGTTTGTCATCTGTTCTCCATTCACGGTTCTATAGCTATCTCTCAAATCTCTCCACGACCTTCTTCAGGCTGAAGCCCTAGCTTATTTGGCAAAAAGCCACCCCATAGTTCTGTCCATCCACATTCTTCCCCAGACCTTTTGATGTTCCACCACCCGCTGGCTCCCTTCCTTCCCTCCCCACCTTTCGGGTTATATATATTGCCCTGTAATTACAGCTTCCCAGGCTCTACACCCGACACGGGGAGTGCAAATCAGCTCACCCAGGTTGTCGGTCACTTGGTAGGAGTCCCGGAAATCTTTCATGCGGAAGCCGATGACATCAATGAAATCCTCCACCAGCCTGAACAGCTCCTTGGCATTTGGCCCTATCTGCAGAGAGAAGGAGAATACCTGGTAGCATGGATAACAAAAAGCCCAGCATGAGTTTATCTGAAGGCAAAGGTTTTTGTCCTCACACTGGTACTGGAACAGACGCTGGATATAAGGGAATATTATGGAGCTTTGGAGAATGAGGGCTGAGAAATGCTAAGGAAGCCTAGAATAAATAAAAAGATAGGAAAGAGTAATTGATAAAACTGAGTGTGGAGGGCAATATCTCAAAGCAAAGCGAAGAGAAATATCAGAGGTTGTCTGGAGCAGGTAATCTATGGTATCATCATCTTCTTCCTCAGGTTTATCTCTACTACCAGAGACAATTTGCCCTTCCAGAGACATCTCATCAGAAAGTGAAGAGCGGTCAGTGTTGAATATCTGCCCTAAGTCAAATTCTGAGAGCCTCTATCAAGCCTTAGACCTCCCTTATCCTCAGGTACTGCAACGTTTGGTCTGAGAAACATGTTTTGGCTTCAGGAAGCCACAAATGTATAGAGTCAGAAAAAGGTTGCATATAAATAACCTACTGAGAGGGAGCCCACTAAACCTTGCCCCTTCAAGGATAGTTATTTTTTTTTATCACCCAAAAGCTCCAGCCTACACTGTTGGCATGCACAAAGGGCAGGTTTCTAGTAGGCTGGCTTTTAGGCTTGTTGTCAGGGGGATGTCTGGGAGAACTTTTCTTACATGTGGAGAAATAAAGCAGCACAATAGGATCTCCAGGGAGAAGCAGGGAACAGAACTGAAGGGAGGCTCACTGCTTTTCCTACCACCTGGAGCATCTCAGGGACCTTTGGATGCCTCAGTTTGATGAGGCACACTAGTAAAGAGGTATACAGAAAGGTGGTGAGAGTGGGGAGATCTTTGTTGGCTTTTTCTCTTGATCTCTGTTGGATTTCCAATTGCTGTTCTTCAGTCTGAGCCTTCCTCTAGGTCAAAGATCAGGGTGCCCTGGGGCACTTTAAAGATATCATGAGTTAAATTCTCCTGGAGGGAGGGAAGAGCATTCTCAAAGGCAGGAATCCAGCCCCTAAACCTTCTTCCAGAGATGAATCAGGCTGTGTTTAGTGACAAAGACATGATAACACTGGAAGAAAAACCTGTGAATGACTTTGGTTAAACCCAACACCAGAGGCACCTGCAGCCTTAAATTCGTGCCTTTCAATGAGCAGGAGAAGAGGTAGCAAAGTGATGGGGGGGTTGTTTGCATATTTAATACAGTCCACCAAACCACATCTCCGACATGTTTCAGCCAGTTGTTGACCTGAGTCAGAAACCACCAGAAAGGCAGACCATATCCCAACAAAAATGGTCCAACAAATACATGCTTAACAAGGACTTCCAGGGCCTAATGTCAAATTCCAGGCACCGGATCACTTTTTCTCTGCAGAAAAGCACAGTGGTCCATTTTCATGCATTCCCATTCTGTTGACAGCACCTCACTCTCCAGAAAACCAAGCTGCTTCTTGCCCAGCTGCGTCGGAGCTTTGGCATCTTTTCTCTTTCCTTTCCTGGTGTTCCCCACATGAAAAAGGCATTTGCAATAACGCTTCTTTTCCAGGCATACATAAAGCTGTTAAACAATAACTGGTTAAGCAGTGGCTGATTTCATAAAAGATAATCTACCTACAATGAGCTGTGCTGACTGCCTGCCTTCCTCGAGGCACAACTGCCTACAGGGCAGAGCAACCACCATGGGAGGTCAAAGAAAAGCATCTCAGCTCCTTACATTGCCTCTTTTCCATCGATTTTCATGCTTGCAGATCTTCACTGTAATTCAGACCTCCCAAGGTGGCTGATCAGAGTGGAAGGGGCAGCTGAGGACAGAAGGATGGGATGGAGGCAGAAGGAAGGCTGAGCTGGCGAGAGATGGAGAAGGAGCACAGGGGTGGCCATGCGTGTCCCTCTGTCTGGCCAGCCAAAGGAAGCTCAGTGAGAATAAAACTCTATCAGGATCAGATCAAACAGTCCTGCCAGTACAGCAGGTGTGCGCATAAGGAGCAGCAAGTGAGGAAACTAATTTTAACTGGATATATTTATATTCTGTTATGGACTGAAATCACAAAGTCAAAGTAACCCCAAGCTACACCGGCCATTATCTATCAGGCTTCTGTCATATATGATATGACCGTATTGTATGGCTAACCTTCCCAAAAAAGGGCCCTTCTCTATCTGAAGTTTTTTATTTATTTTATGTATTTATTTATTTATTTATTTCCCCTTGAACAACACCTTTGTCTGGGAGTTTGCAGTGCACTGGGATGTGAGACTGTACTGAAGTTGGGTTTATTTTTAATGAGGAAGTTGGGAGCCAAAACCTTCATTTCAAAAGGACTGTTTAACCTTGTGAAGCACGAAGCCGGAGTTTGTTCCATCAGCTTTAAGCAACAAGGACAGAGACTGTTGAAGCCTCTTTGACATCCAGTGCCTGAAGATTTCTGAGGGCAGCTTCTGTCCTAAAGCCACGGTGTTGGGCTGTCATCACCATTTCCACTAAAAGAAATGCCACGTAAACATTTTCTTAACGTTGATTTCATCATTGTCCTGCTCCTCATGCAGGTCACTGTAATGCTGGCAGCATCTATAGGTGCAAAGAGATCATACAGGGAAAGCCGATGGGAACAAATTGCCACTGGGAGTAAGCTGCAGCTGTTTTTATGGGGATCAATAGGATTTCCCTGTTGTCATGACAACTCATCAGTTTCCTCTGCGCTGTTCTGAAACATGTACACACACCTGGAGGCTTGAAATTGAGCATTTGGTCCCTTACTGCTCCTGGAGCCAGAACGTGCCATCCAAGTGCAACAGGAAAACACCAGATCTCAGGAGAATGGAGAGAAGGAGACGTCCACAAGGCTGTTCAGCTCCTGGTGGAGGTTTTGTTGTTGAAGGAACTGTAGCACAGCTGAGCATTCAGCTCCTGTCTCACGTTTTGGACTACCAATGACTGTGCCCCTGGTGGGAAGGCTCTTTCCCAGACGACTTCCCTGGTTGGAGTGACTATTGATATTTTTTTTCATGTCAAATGTTTTTTTTCTTGTCTGTTTAGTACTTCCAGACCTCTGATGACTTTCACAGCAATGAAAGGTGGTTAAAAAGGGGCTGCCATGTTCTGATCCACACCTATGGTACTTTCCAGGGGACTGGTCTCACAAAGACTAAGTTATTCACGTTGGCCAGGTTATTTTTTTAGGCTGTGACCAAAGTGAATTGGTGTTTTTGTTCCAAGGTTCAATAATGAGGAATGGACTTGGAAGGAATGAGCATTACCATTGGCCCATTCACCAGAGCTGCTGCTGGTCTGAGGCAGAACCATTTTACTCTGAATCCCCAAAACCTGCAGCAACATGAAGACGTTGAGAAGCCCAAGAGCTCGTTAAGGGAATAGGAAAGGGAAAAAACAGGGACAAGCAAAGAGTGTAAATGGGACAAAAGAGACAAAGAGCAAGTGTGACATGGATAGAAAAACAAACTATGTCAACCTCTCCTCCAAGTATACAAGGGTATAGCTACAGAATTATTCAGCAGGATTCCAGTCCTTGAGATGAGAGAAAGAAACAAAAAAATATAAATGAACCCTTGCTCATCTTACACTGAACAGAACAAGAAGCTCAGGTGAGCAGAGCATAGCTCTGAACTAGGAAAATCCTGCCTGTCCTGCATCTTTGTAGCCAGAAACTCAGACCCATGTAATCCCACTGCTTTATCTTGGCAAGAAGAGGAGACGAGAATTATAAAACGCTAAGGGTGTGATCAACTCTAAACACAGCTTGATCTCTGAGAACTATCCAAAATTTGGTATTCACCACCATTTTTCCTTTATTATTGTTATTTTTTTTTCCTGTTACTCATGCAGAGACCCTGGCTTAGGGCTGAGATCCTCTGGCTTCCTGAGTTACTTCATAAATATGACTCAGCCTGACACTGAGCTCACCCAAAAGACCAGTTGCATGTATCAGCTGTTTGAGAGTAACTCCTTCAGAGGTGGTCAGCTCTGAAGCTGATCAGAGCTGACCACATCCAGTTTATTTGTCTTTCATCATAACAAATTATCAGAGAAGAACAGCACTGGTGGATGGAGATATTTTGTGGTCTGTGGCTGGAACAGATTCATGTTGCACACAAAGCAACATGGACAAAAGACATGTAGACCCTTAGAAATTCCCCTTGTCATGGCTTAAGCCTATGCTGAAGGCATGACTTGCTCCACAGGATGTGCTGAAGGTTCATACCAGCTGAGCTTCTTCCCATTTCTCTCGGTTTTCCTCTGATAAAAGGTTGCTGATGATCTGGACGAAGTTCTGGAGAAAGGAGACAAAATAAGACAAAGGAGGTAGTTAGCCACATGTATCCCACTCAAGGAAGGACATGAAGGTGCAGAAGGAACATGTGAGCATCACCTGTGCTCCACGAGCCTTCCCAAGGTCCTGTTCCCAAAGGCTCCCGAGTCATTTCACAGGCCTCTGCCGCCAGGGATGTTAACAGAAATTCAGGTTGCAGAAAAGCCTTTTTCCCAAGGACTTCACTTTAACTGCTATACCTGCTAAGGCACTGGACTGGGAAAATGTCTCTATTACTGAAGATTTTTAAGAGCAGATTAAACAGATGTCTACCAGGAACTGATTAAAAACAGATGATCTTGCCTTGTATAAATCACTTCTCATCCCATTTCCTACTATTTCATTTTTTTTTTCAGCATAGGGAATCATTGTCATTTCTTCTCTGTGGCTTGGAAAGAGAAGCAGTGGTGGATCAAGAGAGTGCTACGCATGGTAGTACTTTTTTTTGACCATGCAGCATGCAACGAGAAGGAAGGAGACAAGATATTTCAGGACCATTGATTTTTTTTTTTTCTTTTTTTTTTTCCCCTCTAGTTTTACCACCCTTTGCAGATCCTGTTGGGTCAGTTTAATGTTTCAAGTCATGTAGTGATGACCTATCCCAAGGGCATATCTTGTAACCACTCTGCATGCAGATGCTGAAAGTAAAATCCTAGGGTGAGAAGCACAGAGACATTTTCCCTCATCAATATCCAGCTACCCGATACCACAGGATCATCTTACCTGTAGTCATTAGGCTGTAATCCCTTGCAAAGAGTGCTCTCATATCAATTAGACTCCCCAGTAAGTGCTATCAAGTTGAAATAGTTCAGAGTGACTTTGGTTTTCAAGTTCTGACTCTATAAGCCGGGGAGAACCAACCTCAAAGGCAGGGTTTGTTAACATGCAGAGACACTTTGCTCACGTGGAAAATACTCCAGCTTTTCAGCAGCATTGAATCAGCTCAAAAGGAAGTAATCAAATCCTTAGCCCTCAACCCAGCCTTGCCAGCCAGGATACACATCTCAGCTCACCTGAACATCCCCAGAAGTCGGGCTGTGATAAGCCCTACGGAAGATCTCTGTCATGTTCCTGAGTACATCAATGGTGGACAGCAAGTCCCCACTGTAGCTGGTCCCATCCTGGGAGATTTCCACAAGGTTTTGGATCACTTCTGACAGCCCGTCTACCATCAGCCCACGCTGAGCTTTGGAAAGATGTTCCCTGGTCTGAGGAGCAGAGGGAAACATGACAAACACGTCAGTGACAGTCAAAGCCCAGTTAATGAGCTCACTGAAGGAATGGCTGGGGGAAGCTTTGTGACCTTTCTTGTAATTCGGAGCACAGATTAGATGAACCTAACAATCTCTGCTGACCTGAAAGCCTGTGATATTTTTAAAATGATAGAAGAGCAAAATGTAATTTTTTGGTATGCCCACAAAGAAAAGGTTTTTTATATGTTCAGAAGAGTTATGCTACTACACAGACACTATTCTGCTGCAAACCTAAGGCCAGCTATTTTGCCCTAAAACCTTGTTTTCTTATAACCAGTCTGGACTATTTTGGGACAGACAGCACCTCTTCCTGAAAAGAAAAGGACAGTTCTCATAAAGGCAATGCCACTTTAAAGCAATCCATGGGAAGACCACCAAAAACAGGAAAATTAATCACAGTAACAATTGTAAAACTAATGAAAAATAAGTGGCTTATTTAAAAATGTTACAATCACAGTCATTCTTATGGATAATGTGATATGGAAGACCTGGTAGAACCTGGACTCTGTCAGGCTAAATATTAAAATAGCCAGTGGGGAACCATCCCTTGTCAATGGAGAGCCCATATATCACAAGCTAGGCAAACAACAGCAGTAACACAAAATCAGAGAAGAGCTGGTATCTCCCTTTCATGTAGAAATGTTGCTTTCCTTCTTTTTTGTCCTTCTAACAGTATAAGAAACATTTAGGGGGATAATAATCTCATCAGGTGTTGAAGTCTGTCTGCCTTACCAGCATCTGTATGTTCCTGTAATCAATAGAAACACACTTGACATAGGTTGGAGGCTCCCAGTAAGCTATCCCTTCTTCATCTAAAGTGCATCTTCGAAGGATCAGCCCTGGAAGAGGAAAGAAAAGAGCATGGGAGCGGAAGCAGTTGGATGAAAAGCCCAGCACCTTCATGGAGAACTGGTCAATGCTGGTAGCACCAAGGGCAGCAGGGGCATCTGCAGTGGTGGGGAGAGGTTCTGTGTATTTTGGGAGAGGTTCTGTGTATTTTGGGAGAGGTTCTGTGCATTTGGGAGACATTATGTGCAATTCCTCTCCTTCATTTCTTACTGAGGGGTAGGCCAATAAAAGAGATGCAAATGAAAACAAAACAGTTGGGACACAGCTGGCCAAGGTAAAAGAAAGTTTAATTTGCCCATCAAGGCAAGTTTCTCCCTGCTTCTGGAAGTCCCACGAGCCTCCCCAGGTGGCACGGTCTGGTACTTGCAGCTAAACCAGCCACACTGTCTTCTGCTGCCTACACAGTCTCAAAGAGCAAAAAATATCCAACAACACCATCTTTGCATCATCTGAGAATCTCTGAAAGCTGCCTGCAGTCCTCCCCCAGGCCTTTCCTCAGCGTCAGCTTGCAGTGGGTTGTGCAGTGGCAATCACATGCCTTCGCGATGCAGAGGAACAGGAGTACCGGCGAGGAGACAGCAAACAGGAATCACCTTGCCCAAGCAATTACACTGCCATTGGAGAGTGTTCAAGGACCAGGCATTGCTGGGTTCACAGTCCCATTGCTACTGATAAGTGGTTCAGTGTCCTATGGATATGGCCCTTCTTCTGGGCTAACATTTGGAATGACTCTAACCCTCCCAGAGTGCATGAATTGGAGAGGTCCAGGGTTTTCTCCATCCAACAACCTCACTCAAACAGAATAAAACCTTTATGTTCATTATGGACTCTGCTGCCCTATTTCTGATCCTGCCTGGGATTGAGAAACATCTATCAGAGGACAATCTCCACCACCAGAACATCTCCTGGAGCCTTCTTCTCTGCTTTCCACTCCCTGGGGAATGTGTATCTGCAACCACAACAGATAACGCCAGGATGCCCAGGCACTATCACTTCCCACCACCGTGGCCAGAGCACCTGAATAAAAGCAGAGAGTTACTCTGGTTCATAAACGGGAGTGGAAATCAGCTAAGTGTGGCTTGGCAATGCATTTCAGATTTTGTGCTTTTAGATACAAGCTTCTTCTATGGTCAGTGGGGATGGCCAAGACTAGGGGACTTGTGAATCCCAGCCTGCTTCTGCAGAGCTATCTGTAGCAATTGGATGTACATGCCATACCACAGCAGCCCTTGATAGTGAAGCTGGTCCAGGATTAGGCAGTGGTTGGATGGGAAACCACTTCAGAGTGTCTAACATGGATCAAGGGGTTGCTGTTAAATAGTTAGGAACTGCAGAAATCCAGAGAGAATTCACTTAGCCTTGAGCAAAGGGCAGATAACCCACTGATCATGCTTTCCTCCCACATCCACATTGTCCTCATCTTGGAGGCAAAGGATGAAGGATGAACTGTAGGTGGGCCATTTCCCCAGCCAAGGCATGCAGACATCCTTACCGGTGGCATTGCGAGGACACCGGACAGCTGCAGCGTCCCCCGCGGGCGTCTCCTTCCAAACCACAGAGGCAAGGCTTTCCTCGTCACAGATCTCATGGGGTTCTACAAGGCAGGAAAAACTCCATTAGTAAAGCCTCTTCCTTAGGAGGGATGTGGAAAAGGGGAAAGAGAGGAGCACGGCATGGAGGGAAGATCTTTGTGGGGTGAAAAATGTCAAAACCACTTTAAGCCCTCTGGGATTTGCTTTGTCTGTCTGCAAGCTCTGACCAGCCTGAGGATCAGCTCATTAATACACCTGTAACAACCCAGGAAAGTCCTCTTATGTGCCTGCCCTGCCTCAGAGGAAAGCTGCTCTTGCTACGTCCTGCTAAAGTTTTCTTCTCTCATTTCAAGGTGAGATGTCCAACTTTTGGGGCTGAACCTCAAGGCTTCAAACTCGATTCCTTCCACCCATCAGGGTCACCACACAGGTTTGGGGCTGGATGTGGTTCAAAAGAGGCTCTGCATAAATAAGTTGGACTAGGTGCAAAGGAAATAAACAAGTAGAAGAAAAAAAAATAAAAGAAGAATAAATAAAAGTGGATATATTCCCTGGGTGGGCTTCATTCAGGCACTCTGCTACCATTTTTTCCAAGGCTGCAGGAAGAACAAACAGGCTGGATTTGCATTAGCAGCTTCTTTCCAAACAGTGCTGCAGAGTCCAGGAGGACTGCAGAAATATGCAAAATATGTTTAGAGGCATTACAGAGAAAGCCCTTTGGAAAGAGAAGGCTTTTGGATGCTTTTCTGAGTAGAGGTGAGTTGGCTCCAGGGTCTGTGGGACCTGAGAAAATGCATCCATCACAGAAGGAGGTGTTCTGCTAAATGAAGGAAACGATGAGTAGGGTGCTGAAGCTATCTATCACTTCTGAGGGTTGGGAAAGGGAAAATTATATTTAATGGTTTCCAGTAACATATTTATTTACTGTGCATTTAAATCTACCAGTAAAGAGAAAGCTGAGAGCATGCCTGTGTCTGGCCAGGAGTGGCAGCTGCAAAGCCAAAGCCAAAGCCAAAGCCAAGGGCAACCAGCCGTGGAGCTGGGCAGCTGCCTGCTGAGCTCCCTTCCCATGTAGGAAAGCGCTGCCCGTGCCAAGGTCCAGTGATGCCAGCAGAGATGTGCCAAAGTTGCAGGGAAAACGTACATTTGATATAAAGCAATAGATGGGGGCCTGGAGTTGTCATGGTGCTTCCAATGGTGGAGATGACCTTGAAGGTCTCCTTTGATAAGGGTCATGTAGGTGTGATGGCATAGATCACCTTAGGGTCTGTGTCAGGAGCAACTCCCTGGGGATGGATGTACCTTGCAGATGCTCTGGAACAAGCCAGAGCTCCAAACTGGATGTGGGGAAGGCTCCAACCCAAGATTATGGGCACGGAAAGTCCTTCTGCTTTGAAGAACTCAGAGAGGACCCAACAAGCTGCCTACATATCACAGCTCCTGGAGTCAATCCCCAAGAATGTGCATCTCCAGCCCCAGCTGCATTTCAAATACAGATTCCTCCCTGGTGCATCCAGTAGACGCTGATAATGAACAAGTTATGCTCCCTGCTTGAAAACAGATGTTTCTTCCTGTTTTAAAATTCCCCTTTGAGTAATCACTATTATAATAAAATCCCAGAGGGCAAGCGGGATCCCTGCTGTGCTCTACACTTATGCAGAAATAGTCCCTGTGCCAACAGCTCACGACTTCAGTGGATAAGGCAGAAAATGGGCAGAAAAGTGGCAGTTTTATTTCCAACCATTTAGCAAGGAGCTGTAGGACAGTGAGATGAAGCCACCCAGTTGTGACCAGCACGTGGTCACCTACAGAGCCTGTTGTAGGGCAGGGAGCTGAATGCAAAACTCCTGGCCCGGTGGTTTGGCCGTGGTCAGATATTCTCCACTGGGAACTGTTGCCCACAGGAGGGTTTGGGACATGAGGTGGGAAGCTTCTAACACCCCCAGCGTGCAAAAGCATGTCTAAAAGCAGACAGGGAGCTCACATCTGACCTGCCCTTGCTCCTTCCCTGACCTCTAGAAGCTTTTCTGGCTTGCACCCCTGCAGTCTCCCTGGGGGCCGCTGAGGGATGCTGTGGATCAGAGATGTTCTTTAGAAGTACACTGATTGTCTGGCATTCTCTTACCAGTGAGTGCAGGAGCAATTCCAAAGCCAGGAGAGAATCATTTAATCCTTTTATTTATTATTTTATTTTATTTTTTCGTTTTCTTGATGTTGCTTCATAACAATATCCCTTTTGCCAGAGTAACCTATTTGCACCGGGAGATTTTAATAACTAACCCAATTAAGCTCAATTCTTCTGCTCAAATCAAATCATGCCGGCATTTGATACTTTCTCGAGAACGAATCGAGCGGGTTTATTTTTAGCTTCTGACGGCTCCCCGCCTTTTCCTCCCCCTGCAAATTAACAACTGCAGCAAGACCCTTCTGGTTTTGAGCCCTAGCGGGGCTCAGCGCCTTTTCCTTTTGAGTGTCGTGCAGGCATCGGCCCCTGCGGACACAGAAGAAAAGATTGGGCTTGTTCTGCCAGGGCCCCAGCTGGCACACGCTGAAGCTGAACTAAATCTGCATCGCTCTGTAGACACCACCAGACGACCTGGTGCTAAGCCTTTCCGTGGCGGAGGAGAGCTTTACGGCTGAGTTAGGAGAGACTCTCACCCGCCTCTGCTAATTGAGAGGCACAGCTTGTAAGGGGAGGTGATGTCTTTTATTACAGCGGAGCTGCGAGGAGTGAATGTGCTGTTATCTTCTGGCTAAACTGGGTAAAACTTTTGTGCTGAAGTGCTTTGGCTTTTATCTGTCTTCAGCAGTTTGCACGGGGCTCCGGGGGTCAGATGTCCTGACCATCACACATCCATCCCCAAAAGCTTCTGCACCTCTCATCACGAGGACAGCCAGGATGCCACCATGACAATCTCTGCCATTGCTCACCGAGTGGCTCCAACAATTAATTGCCCTCTCGGTCAAAAATCAGGGCCTGTTATGATCGATGCAGTCTGCCTGCCAACATCACACAGGCCATTGATTCCCTACCAGCAGTTTCACCAGCAGGGACGTCAACCCAGACTAAGAAAGAGAATAGAAATGGTGTGCCAGCCTGTTGTTTTACACTGCATGGAAGACAGATAGAAGCATTCCAACTTATAAGTTTTTCCTTCTGCTTATTTTTCTCATTAAAACCCAGATTTTTGTCTGTCCTGCAGCTCCCTTGTCCTCCATCAGGGCTTTTACACCCTTTTTCTGAACTGGATGCTGTTCCCATGGCTGTAGCTAGAGAAGGATGAGACTGAGCAAGGCTCTGATGGATCTGCACACATCTGTCTTTTTTAAAAACTGCCAGTGGCATGCGGGTCTCCCAGAGGCTAGGTAAAGGGTAGGAAACACTCTATCATCCTCCACACTCAAATATTTCATGGGCTTAAAACTCTGATATCAATTTTTGCTCTGGAAGTCTCTTTCACTCTTATGACTCTATGACAATAAAAAAATGAGAAATATGAAGTCTAGACCAGTGGGACTTATCAAACATCCACTGAAATCAGCATGGGCACACTGGCTTCAGCAAGAATTTTGTGCCTGGGTAATGAGTAGGGTCAAACGCGATCACAACTCCTTGTTGCATTCAGCTCCCTAACACAGGGCTCAGAACCCTTTTCCAAAATTCCTGTCCCCCCAGTGTGAAGGAGGGTACGAGGAGTCTAGGGTACGTACCAGGACACCTCCTGTCATTGCACTGCTTGTACTCTTCCTTGGGGCCCTGGCAAGACTCTCCACCGAAGAAGGGCCCGTAGCACACCCGGTCACGTCGTTGGGTCCCACCTCCACATGTGGTGGTGCAGCTGCCCCACACGCCCCAGGCTTGCCACTTCCCATCCACTGGAGACAAGAAAAGAGGAAAGAAACAGCCTGAAACATCCCCAATGTCATCTGCAATGGAAGGAGACAACTTCCCAAGGTGAGCGCTGGAAGGTAGGATGAGTAGAGAATGGCTTGGAGTGAAGGGAGGTCTTCTGCCTCAGATCCTTGTCTGATCCTCAACAGACATGGAATAAATGCATACTCTTTCCCATTAAGGCTGCCCTTTGATGAGTGAGGGGTGTTCTTGTGCTCCTCCTCAGTATCCTCCCCCAACAACACCAGCCCTGCTCAGGTTTGGGGCTCTGACAATGAATGCTTTCAGGGCCAACAGAGATTCAACCTGGTGGTCAGCCTCATCTACCAGCCAAAGTCCATAGTTGGTATTTGGTTGGGATGCACAATGTATGTGTGAAAATAAGCACAAAGGGATCAGCAGAACGCCTCCAGGTGAAAAACAACAACAACAACAACAACAAACAAACAAACAAACAAAAAACCATAAAGAAACATCAAAGAACCCTCACTCCAGCCATTTCCATTGCACTATGGTTTCACGTACCTTGGAAAGAGCTATTGCAAGAGGCTAAGTAAAATGTTGTCTCATCTCCTGGTATCTTCTCCAAGCATCTTTACAGACTCAGTGAAAAGGCTACTTCTTTTGCATTAACAATGGCCTTTATCAAAGCACTATAAAAATGTTAATTAGCCCTCACTACAAGCCTGCAAGGTAGGAAAATGTTTTCCTCTGCTTCATCACAGACAAGAAACAACAACTCAGTGACAGAAATAGAGGAAGAACCTAAGTCTTCTGATTCATATTTGGGTTTTAATTAGGCATTAGCAATTATTCACCTCTGGTCAAATAATTCCTCTCCAGAGGGTAGGAGAGATCCGTCTCTTCTTCTCCAAGTAGTGGAAGGAAATTACCAAAGAAAAGGGCCAGCACCAACCTCTTGTGCTTTATTTGGTGACATCTTGGACGTCCACTCCTCAATCCTATGGGCTAACGGGGATGGAGCAACCAAGGAGAGCCAGGAAAAGGGCCAGGGAATGTATGGCAAAAAAAAATAATTGGTCCTGATTAATCTTGACAGCTTCTAGATATCTAAGCCTTGTTTTCAGGCAAGAATATTTTTCACAGCAGCTTACCCAATTAGTCAGAAAGACATGTTCTCCATGGATAATTACTCACCTGTCTGGGGTCTCCTGGAGCTTTTGCCAGCTATAGATTTTGGGTTCATGGTCTGTAAGTGTGATTCACAGCCTCCTTACTACTGCATCGTTGGTGGAAACTATGCAACTCTTCCCCAGGGGAAACTGGAGGGGGATTTATAAAAGCCTACCTGGGACTGAAGAGAAGGATGACCCAAGAAAGAGAGGAAAAGTCATTGTCCACTGACCTGGGCATTGGCGTAGGAAGCAGTCCCTGGTCTCCACCCAGTGTCCTTGGCATTCGGCTCCCCCGTAGGAGGGCCCATTGCACTCCCTCGTCCGCTGTTGGGTACCGTTGGAGCAGGAGGCTGAGCAGGAGCTCCAGCTCGACCACTCATTCCAGTTGCCGTCCACTGAGTGGCCCAAAGAAAGAAAACAAAGCGGAATGTGAAAATCGCTCCCTCTGGAAGGAGGCATGTACAAGAGTCTCTGGCCTGTGCCAGCAAGGGACCGAGGTAGGGGAGGACAAACCGGGGTCACAGGGAGTGTTAGAAGGACAGCATCATCAGGAAAAAGTTCAAACAAGAGTGGCAATGGCAATGTCTTGGGACCCTGTGCAACCTCCAGCTGTTATGTTATGTTCTTCCAGGATGCAAGCACCATAACACATTGATTTTTATGTTCATAGCAACAGGAAAAGTTGAAATTATTGACATTACATATTCCAATATAAAATTCCAAACTATTAATATCGCCAGTGACAACGTAACCTTAAAATAGAGAGTGTGGATCATATTTTCACTGAAAATTTTGAAGGAATCCATCTGTTACCAGACGATCTTGGAGGTCTTTTCCGACCTTAATGATTCTACTATTTTATAATTCTATTTCCCATTTTGGTCAACCTACTTTGTTTAGAGAACCAATTTTTTTTTCACCATAACTAGTCCAAAGCAATACATGAGCCTGGTTCCTCAAGCACTCAAATGCTCTGTTTTGCAGAGGAAGCCCTTCAAGTACAAGCTCGACATGACACTGTTATTGAGAGAAATTCACTCTGTCAGCCAGGAAATTCTCAGAACAAAGGTGTGCTCCAAGAGAAGACCACAAACAGAGTGCGTGTGTGTGGTCAATGCCCTTCTGTCACAGCTGAATTAACACTGACAGGCTTGATGTATCTCCACACAGCAACATCTCTGATAATTAAATAGGAAAGGGAGGGAAAAGAGAGGTTATGATAGGGACAGGTTTGGAAAGAAACATGAATGCATCTTATTAGTGTGGTGCAGTGTGAGGCATTCCCAAGTGTGGCACTCACACCCTAATTGGTCCCTGATCATCAGATCTATCACCCAGCCTGCTATTCCTGGAGCGCTTTTTCTCATTAGCAGCGGTCATCATGCTCTGTTTAGCTCTCATTAACTGTTAGCTCTCACTCAGAATAAAAACAACTGAATCAGAGGAAAGTCTGAATTCTGGCTTGCATCACGCTGCTGTAGATTGCAGCTCATTTTCTTTCACTTTGTTTATCAGACCAAGAAAAATATATGCAGCCTGGTCCCCTGTGTCATCTGCAAGGCCCCAAATAATCTCCATTGCAGTTGAGTAGGCTCTTTGTCTTCAAGCATGGGAGAAAATATCAAAATATCCAAATGAGCAACTGTTAACTCAGATGGTATCACATGAGCTTGGAAGGTCTGAAAATAAGGCAGAAAGGTACTTCCAAAAAGTGCCCATTTTTGGTAATCCAAACTTGATGTTTTCATCATGCATAATTCAAATTATCATGTCCATGCTTATCAGCCCCAAGGAGGGGAAATACATGAGGTGGTGGCTGAGGGTTGGTTCTTCTCTGGAAGTGATCCCAAAGGCCACAGAGTAGGTCCTACCAGATGTAAATAAGTTCCTCTGATGGGACGAAGTGACAGTGATTAACCTTCCACAGTGGTCACTGATATTGGAAAGGTGACATTGCATTTCCCAAAGTAAATATTGCTTTTACAAAAAAAAAATAATACTTTTTCCATGCTATACGGTGTTGGTGGTGATTGGAATCCTACCACCACTGTGAGCTTCTGGAAATGGGAAAATGGAAAAAAGCTACATCCACAAATTGCTCATTCACTGGGAGAGAGTGAGCAGGGAATTTCCTTTGAGATGAGAGCTCATTTACTCCTGGACTGCAATTGTAAAAATATTTTTAAAATGGGGAAGAGGCCATGTGGCATCTCCAGCCACATACACTGATGTAAGGATGTCTCTTGGGCAAGATGCTGAGGGATCTCCATCATAAACCCATCAAAGACCATTGCCATACCACAAAATGAGTCTATCAAAGTTCCTTGGAGCCTGCTTTGTGCAGCCTGTGCAGACACTGCCGTTGTCTTCCCCCTGATTTCTTTTCCTCTGAAGGACTTGGGACTCAGCCGGCGATATCTGCTGCTCCGGAGGAACAAAAGCTCCGTTGTCCCTGAGCAAAGCGTTTTTATCGGCCGCAGTAATAAATCCTCTGAGCGGGGCGGGAAGGAGCGATACGGATGTCTGGCGTGTCGAGCACTGAGCAGCGCCCATTGTTGTGCTTCAATGAGTCCCCCAGCGCTGCACTCATTTGGCACAGCAAAGCCACTGATTGCCTTTGTGGCATTAATTAGAGCTGAAGTCTTTCTGTTGGGCTGCCTGTCTTTCCTCCCCCCCTCCCCATTTCATTTGAGACAGTGTATCCACATATTTATTTGCATTTAAATTAATTATGGCTCAACATTAACTCAGGATATGCTTTATTGCCCAAGCAATGCCAGGTCTGACTTCTTCAATTTGTCTTTTTTATGACAGAGCCAATTTGGTGCCTGGGATGTCCTTATTCTGAGGAGAGCCTTCTGGACGGCAGCCAGGAATCGAGGGATAGTTACTTGGGGTGAAAACCAGGCGGAAAATGCCAGGAGGTTTCTCACAAATGTTTTCACAAAGTTCTCATCACTCCCACAGTCCCTCTCCTCCTCCGGGGACATCATAATTTCTCATAATGATTCTCATTAAACCTGAAAAGTGTCAGTTGACATTATCCTGGGAGAGGGGAGGCATGCTGGGGAGCTCTCTTGTGTTCTGATTGCGTCCACCAGGAAACCCCCAGCTAAATTAACAGAGGCTCTGTGGTAAACCCAGGGCCTCTCTGGTTCAGGGGAAGGAAACCACAGGAGCACAATTGGATTTCCAGTGAGCAGAAACCATTTTGTCTTGAGGTTTGTTTCTGGTGTCTCAAAGAGAAAATCAGAGAGAGGCATTAGAAAGTAAAATCTAGGTGATGGGAAAAAGTTCCTAGAAGTATGAAAAATATGTCAGGGAACTCTCTCAGAGGTCTCTTAGTTCATCTTGCTGCCCATGGCAGGTTCCAGTACAGAAAGAACTTCCACAGACAGTGAAATTCAAGCAGGCATGCAACTAGTGGCAAAAGCACTCACTCCTGCACAACAAACCCAGGTGGGCACCATGGTTTTGAACTATCCATTGGGGATAATAAATGAAAAATATGAGATGTTCATGGAAATATTAGCGATAACTGAGCCAGTCCAGATCCATCCCATGTAACGTGTCCTTAGTAAGTTACTACACAGGGCAAATTCGAACCTAAAATAGCTGAATATCCCCAGAAGGTGGCTCTTGGTTGCTCCTCTGATGTCTCCTTTCCTTATAGATGATCCTTTATGGAACAGATCAGTCCGTGTGATCCTTCAGCCAGGACTGACAGCTACAGAGCTCTTTGTTGACCCACCTGTGGGCATCTTTGGGGGCCAGGAGACCTGCCGGAGGGAAAGCCTCGAATCTCTAACTGCCTTACCTGGGCAAAGTGCGATGTTGCAGAATTTTGTTTGCTTCTCCGGGCCCTCGCAGGGGTTCCCACCAAACTGTGGGGGCTTGCACGTGCGGGTCCGGTCCCTGTACCCTCTCCCACAAGTGGAAGAGCACAGGCTCCACGGAGACCACTCGTCCCAGGTGCCATGCACTGCAACCAAAGCAGAAGAAGTAAGTTTCCTTTCCAGAGGAAATCACTTCTGGAGAAGTGATTGAGCCCACTGAACACAGCATCGTACCCCCTTCCCCGCCCTCCTGAATTAGCAACCTGAGAGAAGCTGTTGTGGGAAGGCCAAGAACAAACCAGCCTGAAATCTGCAAGAGGAACATGGTGTAATTTTTTTGTGATTTTGTATTGACAACAAGTATCTTTTACTTTCCATCCCACTTGAAATAAATTGAAATGCACTTTTAATTCAACACGTTTTTCAGCATGTTGAGCCAAGGGAAAGGGCATTTTTTTGGAGGAAAAGATGCAATTAGCTAGAGAGGAACAACAACAACAAACAGAAAAATCACCCTTTGGAAAGCAGCATTGCCATCATTTTCTCACTTGTCACTATTTTTTCCCTTGCTCAACGTTTTTTCTTATTGAATCTTCAAAGGCTACAGCATTTTCAAGCTCTCAGAAAAGCTGTAGCCTGTTTCATAATTGCTATCATATGCAGTGATACTGCAGGGACAAAGCTCAGGAGGCTTGGAGGAGCAGGATAGAAATGGGATGTGCAGCAATGCTCCAACACTGCTCAGGCCATCACCGACAACTCCAAGAATTAGACTTCTAAAGCCTGCTAATCTATATTAACATAATCTTCTCCAAGATAATCTAATCTAATCTGGCCAGTTTATTTATGGAAGGTTCGTCACTGTAATCTCTGGAGGCCAAATGTTACAAGGATGTACTGATCTCTCTTAAGGGACTGCAGGATTTCACCCTTCCAGCTTTATCTGGAGAAGCTAACACAAAATCTATAATGCTTCAGAAAAGAAATAAAAATGCAGTCATGCAGTCACTTTTCCAGTCCTCTATTGGTTGTTAACTGATCCACCAGCCTCAGGAAGGGGGAGTTTAAACCTAATGTTTTGTGATTGTCATCAGGCACCTTGCATGATAAGAGATAACTAGAGCAGAAAATTCAGCATGGGAACCAGCTCTGTGGTTTTGCCCTTGTAAGATTGGGTTGAACAATGATGTCTCTGGTCAGGAATTGTGAATAACACACCTGGTTTAACAGCACAGTTCTTCAAAGTAATATCCAGGCCCCCAGATTGTGCTTTATCATCAAAATTGTGGAAGAAGAGATATAAAAGCGGAGAGGGATAGCTCAATACATGAACATACCGGCAGCTGAGTTCTTCGTGCTGACTTTGCAATGCTGTACCTTGTGTTAGCAACTGAAAGTGTCATCTGTCACTGCTCTTTCCCAGTCTGCCTCATGCTTGGAAACACCCCCCAAGGGTACAGGCCTTTCAGATATATTTTGCTCATTGCATTTAAATAGCATGGAATTGTCTGTACCGTACAGAGCAAGTGCCCTTCTAACAGGGCTTGGTCAATTAATGATCTCTTTGTGAGACTATAAGTGTTAAAAGGGAAGGAAAGGGGAAAAAAATAGCCTCCTTCCAAGAAGATATCATGAAGGAGATGTCCTGAGCTCTTAGTATTCCACGAGCCTCTCTTCCCCTCCTGCCCATGGGTGCACGGAGCGCTCAGCCCACCTGGGCACACGGCAGAGTTGTTGCACTGCCTCTGCTCCCGGAGAGGACCGCTGCACTGAGTGCTGTAGGAAGACGACACGCAGAACCTGGTCCTGGTCTGCCAGCCCTCCCCGCAGGTGGTCGAACACACGCTCCACGGGGACCACTCCTCCGCCGCGGGGTCACCTGTTGGGGTTGGAGCAGAAGGTGAGGACGGGGCATCCTTGGTCCCTGGATCTCTGGGGATGTGCTTTGCAAGTGGCACTTTGCCAGCAGCTAAAAATCTGGGAATTTGTGCAAAGTGTCCCATGTGTAGGGGGCAAGGGGATTGGTGAGCAGTTTTTTTTTGGGGGGTGGGGAGGGACGTTTCTCAGTGTTGTAACACACACACACAAAGGGAATGACAGAGAGGAAGTAACAGTGGTTGGGTAGGGAAGGTACATGTGTCCAAAAACAGAGCAGGTGTAAGGATCCAGCTCCTTTCCCTGTGTTCTCTTGGCCGAGGGGGAACAGATAAAATAGCAAAATAAAATCAACTGAAGCAATCCCACAGAGCTTTCTCTTGTCATCTCCTTCACCTGTGGAGAAGAGCTGCTTTGAGCATCTGACTTCCTGTATACCCTATAACAAGTTCTTCCCTGTAGTATTGGGAAGACAAGTAAGAGCATCCCACTGAACAAACGATGGGGGTGAAAAGGACTGAGACATATTCCCTCTATCACTGATGTCCCTGGACTCATATGGTCCTACCAGGAGGGTATCTCCCAGGTCACAATAGCCAGAAAAGTCACGAGAAGCATGTTGTAGGAAAGGACAAATATTCCTTTCTTTTTCATAGGCACTAATCTATCTTTGGGAAAATACCTAGCTGAAAAGAAAAGCTTGCTCTGTTTCATTTAATTAAAGTCTCCATTGTTTGTTTTTTAGATTTCTACTGGGTTACCAATAATTACGCATGATAAACTTAGAACACAACATTTGGTATGTATAGCACACGGGCATATGACACAGGCAAACACCAAGAGCACATCTTTGAGGATGCATAAGAGAGGGGCATGTCCTTGTAGTAACAAGTTCTTAAGATCATCAGACTACACCATGTCACATCATAACCAGATACATCTGGCAGACCACGAATGAAACACACAGGACCATGGCACTTGGTGCAGCATGACTTTAGGGGTCGTACATGCTCATGGCACAGCCTGAACTGCACCCAGCACTTGGACATGTGTCCAGCACCACCATCCCATTCCCAAAAACAGCTGGACAGTAAATGCTGTATTAGACTGACCAGCTTCAACACGGAGCATGAAAGACATACAGATAGTGGGCTGGCACAGCTTGAGATCTTGTCCTGCTTGTAGGCTTAAAAAAGAGCTTAAAAAATAGGAACCGTGATGGGATCTGTAGGGGTTGGAGACCATCAAACTGTCCAAAACCACCTCACCTGCCCTGAAGCTATGCATGTTTGACTTCTTCCCCGAGGTGATATATTTATTCACCAGTGTCTTATGGGAGTTGTCTGCACTTAATTAAATTTTATGCAGGATTTCAAGTGTTTGTGGCTCTCATCAGTCTGCTCATTGGACTCAGAAAGAGGGGAAGCTAAGGATGAGGCTTTCTCTACTTCATGTGTGCTGTCCCAATGATTATTGCAAGCTCCTCCTTTCATAATATGTCTTCCTACCAACAAGATCAGGGACAAAGAAAAAGGGACCTTGCATTCCCCTTGGGATCTGTGCACCACCTGCCTCCCTTCCAGCCTGTGCAGGGGAGGGACTCTGAATGTAACCGTGTTCATTAAGCCAAAGTTGCTCAATACTGTTTCATTTTGCATTTTGTTCCATTAATCTACCCAACTGGTTCCAGTTAGGGAAATGTTGCAGACCACTGGTCTTTCTCTGGAATCTGTAGGAGACTGTGTGTTTTCAGGCCTTGGGGCTTCAGAAAGCAATGCTTCTATATCCCATTTCTCATGTAATAGATCTCCTGCAATACAGAGATCTGCATTTCCATGGTAGTTTGATTAACTTTCCAATAAGGAACCCAACTGGTTCTGTCAGATAATCTTGTGATACTCTGAGTTGACTACCAACCCGTTACCTTTTAGTACCATCACATTTTGTTTCAGCATCTGCCATCCATAGTGGCCCAGACTCCAGAAGATCCCTCTTTGGCCCACAAAGCCCAACCATCCCTGCTACCTAGCCCATCTGGATGCTGCATGGACACGAAGTCTTGGAGAAACAACCAGCCTCCTCCACCAACCCTGCAGCAACCCACCAGTACTGGACCCCACAATGTAAAGTCCCTCAGTGGCAGAGAGCTGGCTTTTGTTGCTTGTTAAATGCTGCCAGCCTGTGCTCATAAGTCTTTCTGCAAGGCCAGAGGTAGAACAGAGGAAGTCTGAAGAGATGCAGTGGCTTCCTCCATCAGTAACCCATGGCTTGAAGGGCTTGCCATCCCACCACCTCCCCATTCAGACCTGGCTGTGTGTCCAGACAAGAGTTAGTGTTACTAGATGAGTGAATCGCATCTCTGACCCAAATTCCACCTAGTCTCCCGTCATTCCCCATCTTGGTATTTCTTTTCTTTGTCCTTTCACCATACAAACAGATATTTATAGAGGCTAATCTCAATTATCGCCCCCCACATTGCACCAGTCCTGGTATTTTCAATCCGTAATGTAGTTTATTTTCCAAGTGCTGGTTACTCCTTTGGGTTTGCTATGGATTTATATAAACCTACACTGCATCCAGACCCCTCAAGCCTTGAAGAGATGCAACTGTATTTCAAACCATGCCAGACCCAGTCCTGAGAGGCTCTCAGAACATCTTGGCACTGGGAAAAACCCTCCATTCTCCTTCCAAGAGAAGCAGAAATAAAGATCACCACCAAAACTACAGATGAGAAGATTTTCTGCACTCCTGCAGCACCCCTCCTTTGGCTGGAGAGGGCCCAGCAGGCGTCGCAGAAGAAGACACTCTGGGCATTGCTCCATGGAGTTGTAGCACTGCCATCCAGGATCCTTTCCAGCACCTGGCCAGCCCTGTGAGGAACTGATCTGGCTTTACAGAGAGCTCAGCTGGCTGTGGGGTCCCCATCAGCGCCTGCAGCTCCTCCTGACACTTCCTCACTCGGCATTAATTGAGCGGCACACGGCTGTCATCCCTTCGCCAGGATCCCTTGATTTTTGGCACGTCCCACCTCTCTGACATCTCGCCACGTGCCACCTCCTCCGTGTTCACACCCTGCCCTTGGCAAAAGCCTTCTGGAAGCGGCGCAAGGGCTGGAACGGGAGTGATGGGGCCAGGGACCTGCTGGGATGGATCTTGCTCTTGCAGCTTCATGTTTTGCCAGGTCTTACATGGATGTGAAATCACTTACAGTCTACAAACAATGTTAACTGCTAGGGAAGCCTTGTGCTTTGCTTGTATCCCCAGCCCGAGACTCCCCCTAAATCCCTCTCTGGGCTGTACCTTCTGCCTGGTCTTTACATCTCCTCCATCCCCATCTCCCTGACCACCCTGGCTGCAGTTAGTGTTTCTGGAACAGCTGCAGGAGTGTGGCCAGCTCGTTGCAGGACAGCCCACTGTTTCCCAGTTGGACATCCCAGTCCAGGCTGGGATGGGATGTCCAGGGATACACCACTGTTTCCCAGTTGGACATCCCAGTCCAGGCTGGGATGGGATGCCCAGGGATACACCACAGCCCAGGACAGCTTTGCTGCTGCAGTGGCTACGATGGCAGGGATGTAACAGAGATATCCCCCGAGCCCAGATGCAGCTGCACAACAGGAAAAAATGTTAAAGTTATAAAGTTATAAGTTATAAACCTATTGGCCAGGCTACAGGCTGGAGTAAAGCACCAGGGAAGCACCTGAGACCTGAGGCACAGTAGGAAAATGGGGACATCCCAAGACTTGCCTTGGAGATCTTTCCCTTCGCCCCCATTTGGACCATTCTCCAGGTAGCAGCAGTATCAACTGCAACTTTTTGACAGTTGCCAGTGCTCCTGCAGGCCACAGAGCTGCTCCCACCAGAGGGAGCAGACTCAGTGCAGGGTAGCAAGGAGATTCAGACCATCCCCACAACCCCAGCTGGTGCCTGATCACCTCCACCACGGTGCTGCTTCCTGATATTGCTGCTGCACAGTGGTAATATCCTGCTGAGTTGGATGGAGAACATCTGACATGCACCAGAACATAACCCCCTCTCCCTTATATTGCAGCCCTGGCTCCTCTGAAACATTTCTAGAGCACAAAGTGTTTGCAAGCCCACAAGGCAATAGTTTTTAACCTGCAGCCAGGGTCAACACATCTTGCATTGCCCAGGAGTTACGATGCGTTGAGTGCCTGCCATGAAAGGCATCAGTAAAAGGACAGCACAAAGCCTCTCCAGATTGGACCTGGACATAGTCCAGGTCCAGTTCACTCCCACCTTCCCAGATCACACACTCTGATGTTATTAAATCTCACTCCTCTTTGATTGCAGGAGGGCGGAAGGTCCTGCTGCAGAGGCTCTCAGATATGAGCCCTTGCACAATGCTAAAGACTTGGTGCCAAGGGAAAGCAGCCTTGCTCTCTCCCATGCTATGCCCTGCACACCTATGGTCGATGGGAAGGTATGGCATGGACTTCAGCAAAGAGGCTGTATCGCAGTAAGGTCAGCTTTGGCTTAATGAACTATGGCTATTTAGATAGTTCAGACAAAGCAGCGATTTAGAAGTAGGCAGGGTGATGAGAAGCAGTCTGTGAGAAGCATGGTCTGGTTAGAGCTTAGCGTCTAACCCTCTTTGCCTTCTTTAATTAACGGCAGCAACACAAATCCCTTGCTGGGGCAATGGGATGGGAACAAACTGAACGGCGACTGTTTGCTCAGGGTGTGACTTGCTGGGTAAGACCACACCAACCTGGGAGGAAAAGCGTGGGTTAGGTGGGTCATTGGAACAGCGAAGCGAGTCAATGCAGGCAGCCCAGCCCAGCCGGGGGGTGCAGGGACCAGGAGGGTGCCAGCTCCAGAGGCTGTCGTAGGAGGTCAGAGCTTACCTATTTGAGGTGCAGGGTACCCGTAGTGCTGCAGTTCGTCAGTGTCCTCTCGCTTTCTGTTATCTGTGGACCTCAGCGATTGGCTTCTGGAATTATAGCGTCCATTGGCTATGGCAAGGTAATGGGTCATGTAAATACACCTTGGTTCACTCTGCAAGATCTTTCACTACAAAGGTTACACGTATAAACAACAGTGACCTGCAATGTTTGGTTGACACCACCACCTGCTTTCCAACCCCGGCACCCTTGGCAGTTCCCAGGGGCTGTAGTACCAAGCCAGCCTCCAAGACTTGGTCTGGCTGGCAGGTCAACCCCTTGTTTCACAGTGACACCTGGGACCATGAGGAATATGATCCCTTGTGCCTGGTCTTTAATTAACTGTGGTTAATTGCTAAGGTGTCTGCACTCTTTGTTGTACTTGTGTTTAACCTTTTCAGATGTGCTGACAGTGAACCCCACCAACCCTGGCAGTGCTTTGAGGCCTATGGTGATGATCGGCAGTATTTCTCAGTGGAAAACTCTGCCTTGAAAGCGACATCTACTTAGCAATGCTCAGTAGAGTATCCAGAAACATGCTGAGTAGAGCAGGCAGGTGAGGGCAGGTGAAAAGGAAAGGGATGGCTCAAAAGGATGTCTCCTCCACCAATGATACCCTATCACCAGCAACAAGGAGAGATGAAGGTCTGGGGCCAACACCATGGCTTATAGGACCCACAGAGCTGCCACTGGGCACTTTTGCAACTCAGGTGAAAGAGCAAAGATTCTGATTATAGCATCCAGGTATCAGTGGAGGTCTCCCACTGAGGACTGTTGAAATCATAAGATAAATCATGTGGAGTAAAAGCGCTGAACTCCTGATGAACAGCAAGCACCCTTCTTCCTGCCAAACCCACACTGCTGCCAGCTCTGCATTTGCATCCCATGTGGGATTCCTTGCTACAGAGGAAACTCGAATTTGACTCACGTTCTCCTAGGTTTCAGGCATGTGGCAAGCCTGATTTACACAGACACGTGCCCTCCCTAGTAAACAGACAAGCAACCGAGCAATAGCAACCAAATTCCACCCACCAGACCTGCCCGCTGTAAATCAGGAGAGCTCAGCTGACTCCACTGGAGTCACACAGAACAACAGAGAGCAGAACTGAATCCAAGTTATCTGCGATCTGGCACCCAGTTTGTTTCCAAACAGCAGGTACCAGACAGAGGGTCTTTTTTATTTTTTCCCAAGGAGGTAAAACAGTCAGACACCTTTTCAAGACACACATACTGCGAGGAGATGAAATGGTGACAAATCCTGGAACCCTGGGAAAATTAATAAAGGTTAATGAAGCTTCAGCATGGTGGCAGGAGTCTTCGTTGGCTTCCAAAAAGGGAAAGCAGAGGAGGGAGAGGAATGATTCAGAGTTCCTGCCAGGAGCCAGACTTTATATTCAGCAGCTTGGTTCATGGAAGACGCCCATCTAGTGTGTGAAATTATGTTATTCCCATTACTGCCACTTCAAAGTAAGGCGTAAGAAACTGAGGGACTGATCACACCACCACCTCCAAACCCTTCCAGCACTCACTGGTTGCAGGCTGCTGGCTGGAGGGGACAGGATGGGGCAGTCATCAGTGACAGGGTAGCTATAGCTGGATATCAGGACTACAAACTCCCTGATATTTGCATGCAATCATTTTTTGTTTGTCTCTTTACAGGAACAGAAACGGCCCAAATCTCAATCTCTTAATCACTACAGAGTCATGAGACCTCTGTATTTGAGATTCTGTTCACAAAAATGTTAACCAACCTCTAACTATATCCAGTGTTCTGAATTTGTTTAGGGGCAGGTTAAATTATTTCCATGCTCTGAGGTGTGGGACACATCCCAGTCACTGATCCATTCCCACCACCCTTGCATTCCTTTCCGGCTATACCCCCACACATTAGTCTGCTCTGATTTAAGCCCTCTTCACGAAAGCATCTAAACCACGAGGACCCACAAAATCTTTAGCTGCTGTAAATCTCAGAGACTTCCCAGAGACTCATTTAGGCGGGGAGGAGAAAGGAGGTGGGCAGCAAAGGGCAGGTGTGGGGTTTGGATGGATTTGTCAGCTGCCCACAGAAAGGAAGGTGACAGGGAAACGTGAGACTGTATGTCTCAGAAGTGGCCAGTGAGCAAGCATGGATAGATGGACAGGGAGAAAGGAAGAAAAGATAAAAGATCAAAATAAAATTAAAAGCAACCCTGGCACCATGGCCTTCCTCCCACCAGCTCTTAGGGCTCTGTGTTACTGATGTTTCCTGACGACTGATCCTGGACTGAGCGAACGGCATGACTTCCTTCAGAAATGACAAGCCTGCACTGTTATTGCTCATCCTAATTAAAGGCGATCAGGTCCAGTGGCTGAACACGTCACCCTGACAGCTCGCCCCAAGCCTCCTCCAGCAAAGTCTGCCTCCAGGCCCATGCCAAGGTCTCTCTGCTGCAGCACGCAGGATGCCTGCCATTTGGAAATGGTGTTGGAAAGAAGCAGGTCAAGCCCCATTTAGCACAGAGCATGGCTTAGATTTGACTTGGATAGTTACCTCCAATATATGCAAAACTCAGCTGTGATTCTGAAGGAGGCATGGAGATGCCAGATCTTTTATGCACAAGGTAAAATTGGTGCAAGTGATGCTTTGCTGTGAGGTTTTATGCACCTGAACTTTATGGGGCCACAAAATAAAAGTAGTAGGGAACTGGTCAGATCTCAAAAACTTGCTCCCTACAGCAGTGTCGGTGGAGAGGAATAATGCCAGGATCAGTGGAAAACCTAGATGTGATTTACATCCCAGCTATACAAATAACACGGGGATGGCACACTGTGGAGATACCCAGCACCTTGGAGAAGTCTGAAGGAGGGGAAGAGAAATAATGCCCTTGGGGCAGCCAAGAGAAATTGCAATTGCACGCAAGAGGCAAAGCACATGAGATTTTATAAGATGAGATTTAGGAGGATGCTCCTGCAATGCTGGCAGTAGTGGGAAGAGGAAGCTGCTGACCAATGCTGCTGATGAGAACAGTGTAACATGTCAGGCAGCATCTTGCAGTAGAGTTGAGGGAAAATAAATAAATAAAAGTAATGCAGAGACTTTGTGTCATTGTGAGACAAGTTTTGAACATCCAAAAGTTTCTCACCAGGGCCAAGCACTCTATTTGTCCCCCATATAGAAAGAAAATTATATAATCTTGAATATTATTCAGATAAGCTGGGGTGGTGGGAAGCAAAAGATGGATCCAAGCAAAGGGTAGAAAAGAATGATTTAAAAAGTATCTCAGTGCAGTAAAACCAAAAGGGAAGCCAAAGGAGAAGGTGTTGTCTATGGAGCTTCTGGGACATCCAACATTTGGTAATGGAGCAAAACTGAGAAGGGAAGAAGCAGCTCCTTGGTGGGTGTAGAAGGGAGTCATTTTGGAGGCCACTGAATACAGGACAACTGTGTCAGCTAACATAATGGCCCAAATGGCCCAGTCTGAACATCTGAGGCTTATGAAAATGTCAGTGAGATTCTTTACTCCCAGGTATGAATTGTCTGAAGCACCATTAAAAGTGGGAACATAACGAAGTTGCTGCAAGCAGCAGCTTGCATATATAAGACAAGGTGCTCTTTCAGCTTGATATGAATTGTAGCCTGGTCTGTGGCGAGTAGAGATGTTCTCAGAATATTTCAGCTCTGTGGCTGCAGCAAAAATGCTATTTTAAATGAAATCCAGGGGCGTCATAGAACAAACAGACATTCATCCACATAAATGGTGAACACGTGTTTCTTCACACTGACTAACAGTTGTACAGCTGAAGGGCCAGATCCTTATCATGCTAGACTGCTGGAAATCAGCACAAGGTGATGGGACTGGACTGGTTTCACACTGCTGCACCTGAGGGCAGGATGCAAGCACTCCTCTCCCAGGCTAGGGGAGACATAAGTGCCTGATTTGCAGTATTCATAAATGTCAGAGATGGCTTCGCAGTTACCTCTGCCAGATGGGATGGCAGGGTTTCAACAGGCTCCTCTGAGATTTTTGTTCCACAGGAATCAATGCTGGCTCCTTTCAGCTCTGATGGTTCTTGCACTTCTTCAGCTCTGCCGAATTCTAGTGCCAGGGGCAGGCCCATGACATCCCTCCTCTGGTCTGGAGGTTGTCCTGCCTTGTACAGCCAGTTTCTCCTCCAGGACACTCTGCATTCCAGGTCACCAGCAACCATAGATTTTAGTACAGAAGAATAGTATGTTGCCCATTCCATCCAAAAGACCTGGGACTCAGAAGCTCTTTTGCAAGCATTTGCCATTTGGTTGGCTTATTTTCCCCTCAATAAAACAGCAGCTCCTGGCCAAGTCCAACAGATGGAGGAAATCTCCTCTGCCTCTACCAGAGAAGAGTATATCACCAGGTCTTCTGCTTCTAGCAAGGAAAAACCAGAGCTATAACAAACACTGAATATTCTCCTTCAGATTATGCCTCTTGAGATGAAAGTCTGCCATGAAAAATGGTTCTGTCCGAGTCAGGCTGCTGCTACCAAAGTTTCCTTTCCAGTGTGGGACAAGCTGTTCATTACAGGTTTCCTTCAGGATTTTGGGGAAATATTTATTTTTCATGCAAATAATTTACCTGACTCCCATGCCCTTGTGCTTGGGTATGTATCCCTGGGGCAATTTAACCAGACAAGGATCAACTGGCTACACAAAACAGCAGAGACACTGGCCCAAGCAAGTGTGAAAAGATTAAGCCCACACAGAAGTGTCACCTGTGGAGCCATTCAGCTGTGCCCGTGCAATGATTTATAACACTACTGTCTCCAGCCTGCATGTGCAGAACCACTGTTCCCATCACTGCACACTGGGACCTTCTTGAAGGTGCTCCTGAGGCTGCTCTGAAAGAGGAAGGCTGGCAACAGGATGATAAGGAGGGCTGGATCCCTCTAGCACATCTGCCATGGACAGGCAAAAGAAAAGAAACCAAGAAAACCTTTGTAGATACTCTGCAAGCATTCATCTAACAGCTCCAGGGAGTTCAGTGGGATCATGCAAGGTTGTTCCCATTGCAAACTTGCTCCTGATGCCATATCAATGACCTCTTCTGGCTGCTGGAAATCCAAAAAAACAGCTAATCCAAAAAAACTGCTAATCAGCCACCAGCTTACAAGCCACTTTGGCAGGAACAAGGAAGGAGAAGCTAAAAAGAGATGGGCTTGCCCTTGTGTTGAAGATGAGGGTAATTTCTGACATTGAAACATAACTTGCTCGGTCAGCAGCTGATTTCACTTTTTAATGGTGGGATTACTTTTCTTCAGCAATTTTTGATGGTCCCAACCGCAGGGAGAAAAATATCAAAGTAATCATCCCTGTTTTGCTTTGCTGCTTTATTGAGATTACAGATGGCTGTTTGGTCAAGGAAAGAAACATTTTTTGTTTGTTTATTTTCTACTAGAAAATTCAGGTGTCAGCCACTCCACTTTATCTGGAGAGCTAGCCAGGTGTTATTACAAAGTATTGAAATGCTGTGCAATTCACTATGAAAATATACTTCTGTCCAGTTCTTTTTTAAAAAAATAATGTTTCAGAAAAGGAATTAAAATGTAGTTAGCTGCAACATATAATGAACACTTAGGAAAATAACAGTTCAAGTGGAAGAATGAACATCCTACTCATCCCTAAGAAATCTGTGAGCAAAAGTCAGTAAGAGAATAACAATGACACATTTAAAACAGAAGGATTTCTAATCTACCTCTAAATCCTCCTGGGTTTTGGTACAGATCACAGCAAAGAGAAGAAAAGGGTAAGTATAAAAATGCAAATGCAATTCCCTGGGTCACCTTGTATTTTGGGGTTTTAAGGAATATAACTTGTACCTCTTTTATGCATAGCTCCAGAGGCAACAAGGGACAGATTCTTCGAGGAGCAAGGTTAGAGCCAAAGGCACAGCTGGGGTAGATGTGGAGAGATGCAGGTTTATCCTGAGGTTGGACGTAGAGCTCAAGATGTGCATGGGCAAGTCATTTGGAAGAGTAATTGTTCACATTTTCCTTCAAATGCTTTTCAGCTTGCCAGCATGAAAGCATCACAATGGGGCTCAGCAGTTTGTCTGCAAAGAGGCGCTTAGGAAAATTAATCAGAATTAACTTATTTATTTCAAAGGGATAAATCAATCTGTGCTGCCTCCCTCAGTGGATCCACACTTTTTCCAAACTATGGCTTTTCACTTAGCTTTCTTCCCAAACAAGCTCTGTTGAACTAACCACACTTTAACTGGAGCACGAGTTGACTGGATGGTTAATGAGAAGAGGACTGGAAGGCAAGTGGAATAATTTATTGAATCACAGTCCCTGGGGCACAATCAGCCTTTTCCTCACTTAGGATCAGCTTTGCTCAGTGTTACACTCTAGAAAAGTGAGTAAATAAATGGTGAGTGAATAATGATTCATCTTCCACTGCTCTGCTCCATGCAATGAGTAAAGCTGGAAGCCCAGCCCAGGCTTCCAGGCTCCCTGGCTGCTCCCTTCTTCCTTCCTTGCTGCATCAATTTCAGGAGATCCAGCACAAAGAAGAGCAAAGGCTGGGGCAGATCAAGGGAAAGCATGATGCCCCTTGCTCAGTGTTGTTGGGGCTGGACCTGGAACAGTGTGTCCAGTCTGGGGCAGTCTGGTTCAAGAGGGATGTGAAGGAATCAAGCAAGTCCCATGGATGGCTGTGAAGATGATCAGGGCTAGGGATGGATGGGCTTCAAAGAGAATTTGCAGAAGCTTGGACCCTCTCTCATTTATCCAACACAGGAAGGGGACTCTAAGGAGTATTTTTTGCCTCTTCTCCCATGTGCTGTCATGTCCCAGGAATGGCCACAACCTCAGAGCCCCCTCTACAATGTTATCAGTAACTCCAGACATTCAGGAATTCAGAGCCATGTCCACCAAACAAAGTGTTGTTCTTCCTCCAGCTCCATTTAGATGCAATCAGGTCCTATGGCTGGTCTTTCCACCCAGGTCCAACTTCCAGGTCCCTGGCCATGGATGGATGTACTCCCACCATCACCACCCCAAGCCCCAGCCTCATTAAAGCTCCAAAGACACCAGCAAGAGCGTGGGGGATATCAGTTAAATTCCCGTAGTGTGGGCGAATCTCCAAGGGAAATTAGCAACTGTGAGTCAAGGAGATAAAGTTCAATATACTGGAAGGTTTCATTAAAAAAAAAAAAAAAAAAAAAAAAAAAAAAAAAAAAAAAAGCCTAATTGCAACAAGATTTAAATTTATAGAAGTGGTAAAAAATGCATGAAATCATTTTAGCCCTTATTAGAGGAATATATTTATGTCCCTCTGTTTGAACTTCCCCTTTTTTAAGAGATGCTTCCCTGCCTTTGAAGGCAACTGAACTTTCCCCAGTTATTTGCCTAGCTGGAGGAGTTATCCAAACATTCTCTACAATAAATGTGAAATACAATGCAGAAAATAATTATAATCAGACATTTGCCAGAACTTGCTGGGCTGAGATTCTTCTGCTGTTGTTCTTCCGTACTGTCTCCTCTCCTTTCAGCTAATGCAAAAGAAGCAGGGGAATGAAAGTGCCACAGGTCACCAGCTGGACCCATCAGTATTGTCCTGCTGACTGGCACTGGTAATTTGTCCCTTGCTTTCTGGAGAAAAGGACCTGGAAAGAGGATGCAGAGCCTCTATCAAAGTCTTTGTCTTGCTCAGGTCCTGTGTTTTGTCCAAACCTGTCTAGCGGCCAGACCTTTCTCCATGTCTTCGTGCTGTAGGCTTTCATTGTGTAAAGGAAGGGGAAAACAACATTGCACTTGACTAGGAAGGGGAAGTAAGTCAAAGAGAGATGAAAGAAGCAAGATTAGCACTTAGCTGCATGCGTCAATTGTTTGGAAGAGAAGCTCCAGAGGGCAACTATCAAAGAAATGCCTTTAGGGTGTACATATTGTACAAGTCCATTGACACCTGATGTAGGCCTGCTTATGGATACCTATTGTAGATCCCTGTTCTGTGGGGCAGAGGTCTGGATCTGCAGACATGTGTGTTGCAAGACGTGTGTCAGCATGTGTGCATGAGCACTCATGGCCACGAGACAATCAGGGAAGGGCAAGGCCATGCACAGCTGAAGTCTCGTGCTCCCTTGGGCCTACTGCTCCACCACAGACCTTCAGCAACTTTACTCTGCTTCTTTCATTAATTACAGCCACAGGGTTGAGGAATCCTCCTGAGAAGGGCGAGACGCTCGCGCGCGTGCAGGGGAACATGCCTCCACTTACTATTGCACGCCTTCCTATTGCACAGCCGTCCTTCCTCCAGGACTCCCTCGCAGGCAAGGCCTTCGTTGGGAAGGGGCTTGCAGGAGCGCATGCGGGTCTGCAGGCCTCCCCCGCAGTCCTTGGTGCAGTCGCCCCAAGCCGACCACGAGTTCCAACCACCTGGGCGAAATCCAGAAAAGTCCTGTCAGCTTCGGTGTCGTGAGAGGGGAGAAAAACCAGACCTATAGACCCTACAACGTAGCCCCTGCCAAGGCCCCAAAGCAGGATGTCTTTGAATGTGGTAGGAAGACGCCACAGGAGGGTGCAGAGAGTCGAGAGATGGGAGAGTAAGAGAGAAACGTTGCCTTTTCATTGACTTCTCTTCAACCATTCCCCATCTCTACACAGGTACTTCACCTTCCTGAAACCCTGCCCCATTACTAACTAGTCTTTCTGTGCTTGGCGTTGCAATGGGGTCCCTTCCTCTGGACAGACCCTCTCCCTGTTTTGTTGCCTGTTGGGCCCTAACCCCAAAAGACAATTGTGACAACCACTCCAAAGTACACATCCATCATAGATGAGGTTGTCTCGTCTCCCTCTCCCACCACACAAACACTTGTTCCTGTGTGGAAAGAGCACAAGAGAGCTGGGAAGGGCTAGAGGTCCTACTTCCCACTTCCCCTTGACCCCAAAGGGATCATCCTTCCCCAGAACTGTAATTTCACCAACCACAGGTGGCAGGCAGAGAAGCATGGCTCCTTGGGACTGCTTTGGTTTGGAGAATGATATTCCCCTGCAGTTCCCTTGCAGCACCCATGGGAAGTAATCTGGGAGCTTCCCAAGAAGGCAGAGGTGTTTTTGGATCCCTTTCCCAACACCAATGCCAGCAGTAATGCACAAACTTCCTCATGTACTACCAGCCGCAGCCCTGCAGGCTGATGGAGCCCCTCATTGAAGGGATGGCCCTTCCACCTGCAAAAGGGAAATGCCAAGCCTCTGCAGTCGTCAGCACCCTGTGCCTTGCCAGGTTGTTACAGAGAACCTCTGACCCTGGTGGGATATTAGCAGCAGAACAGACTGTGAAGACTAAAACTGGTCTGCCTCACATGGGCTGAAGCCTTGCAGCAGGGCACCTGCAGGGAGCCCATCAAGGCTTAGTTTTGTGCTGTAAAAAGACAGCAGGGGATCAATCAGGCCCTTCAAGTGACAGATAAGCTGTCATATCCCTCACTGATCCGTTCACTCCTCATCACCCATATCCAGCAAGCCAGAATATGCTCTGTAAATGGTCCCTGCTCTAACAGCTGGTGACCGTTTCTGCTCCATCATTTGCCTGTTCCTTGGGGAGAAGCAGAGGTGGCCCTTCATCCCAGAGGTGGATGCTCTCAGATGGCTGCTTTTCCTGCTGAGCATTCTCTCATTACCTCACTACCCTGGGAGATGCTTCAGGTTCATGCTTCAGCATGGCTTCAAGTGTGCCGTGCTCAGGCACAAGTAAAGATAAAGAGCTACAAAGGCACTTTTTTTTTTTTTTTTTGAACAGAGGAAACATTGGGAGAAAGAAAAATGCTGCTTTAAAAAATAAAACCTAAAACAACTACTTCATTATTATTATTTTCACCACGAATCATTGCCTCTGGAGTTGCAAATACTTCACTTCAAGTGGCCCAGCCTTCCTGTCTTACTATTTGTGAGGCAATGGAGATTGCAGCTGCCCTTTGAGCTGTGCGTTCCACTGCTTGGAACACCTTGGGCAGGAGTCCAGCTCTGACAAAGTGGGTCCTCAACAGCCCATCTAGGTAACAGGGGAGAATGTTGGGGGAATTACCACCCCCTTGCACAGGGATGGGCAGAGATTCATCCACTGCCACAGGATAAAGACATGGTAGGGCCAAGAATCAACTCATTTCATGAAAAATTAGATAAATCAGCACTTTCAGCACTGTCATCACTTCCTTCATTGCACTGCAAAATGATGTCTTCCTAGACTCTTTTATACCATTCCTAAGCCTGTCCATGGAGTGATGTGTTCCTCACAAACCATTTTATCACAGAATCCTGCACATTTTATCCTCCTGATCTTTGCTCTGTAAGATAGCTCTCCCACTTCTCTGATCATGGTGTCACAAGAGCTCCTACCGTGTCAGCACTCAGGCAAACCAGGTCCTCCAGTTGGGACTGGAGCTGGCTTTCTCATCAGTCTCAATGAATTCCCCTAAATATGGTTCTTGTACTGCAGAGAAGGGTGCACTGTCCTCATCAGACCCTTATACTTTAATGTTTACTATGAATTGTTAAATTTTATGGTCTGATCCATTCTGTAGTGTTTAGGAACACCTTTCTACTCAGTTGGGTGGACTTTGAAAGATTTCCTTCTGCCTCTTTCAGTTTTGTTCTTCCTCTCAGAGGAAGAGATCCTGTACTAACAGAGATCCTGTACTAACACCAACTGAACGGGGCTCAAACTTTTGCTACTAAGACAGAGAGAGAACAAACAGGGTGCTGAATGCAGTGGAAAAGATACTTAATAATGAGAATAACATGGGAAAATAGGTCAGGATGGAAACACAGGCTGGTGAACCTGATGGCAAGTGGCTCAGAGATCTTAGAAGCAGTGAGGAGGATGGGATGCTATTAGCACACAGTAAATATTTGTCCTTGAAGGAGATTATCTTTCCCTTGAAAGTTACTTTCTCTGCTGATTCTTTTTCTAAACAGTGTGGGGAAACAGACTTGTGTCTCCTGTTTCCTGACAGGAGATAGATTGTGTTTCTGTTGCAAGAGAAGCCATTGGCGTAATGGCAAGTATCCTGATGCCTTGGTTGAGCTGATCAATAGGACATCTGTAACCAGACACATTTAAGAGCTAATAAACTCTTTGCTTGCCCTTTTAAGAATGTCTTTCTTTATTCTCCCTCCCTTTCAGATTCATAGCTTCACAAAATCCTTTTTTTTCTACACTTTGTTGGGATACTTTTTGAGTTAAAATACATGTGCTGCAGTGTGTTAGAAGGTTAATTTCAATTACGTTAGTAGGCACAACACAGACTACTTATCCAAACTGAACCCCTGTCTTGGGGTCCTTAGATCAACAATGGGATATTCAAATAGACTTACACGTCAGGAGGTAATCTATTATGAAATAATACCCTAAAATATATAGAAACAGGTACTGCCCAGTCTTACTGGAGGAAAGAGTGGGGGAGAGTTTAGGGTCCTGTCTTTGACTTGTTCCTTGCCTGTTTATCAGCTCCTATGGGTGAACCAGTCAATATAAGATAAAAGCCATCATGATTTCAGACCCTTAACCAGAATGAAACCACTTTATGAGGCTGAGGACAGATAGCTCCATTCCTCTCCTTCTTCCTCAGTTTCCATCCCGTTTGCGAGTACTAAAGAGAAGCTAGAGTAGAACTGCCAGTGTACTTATTAAATCAGCACAGTCATTTACAGCCAAGACAAAGGTATTCCCCACTTTATGGTGTAGTCCTTTTTTATCAGCAGGTTGTCCCATGTTCCTGACAAATGAAATACTGCTTGTTATTTATCCTGTTTATTGGCTGTCAGATAAACCTTTTGAAATCTCCTTTCTTTTCCTGGGTGTAGTCATTTGCTGTTTCAAGTGATTTGTCTTTTTTAGTGGTGTTGTAAAGAAGCAGTTAAGGGCCTATTATATGAAGTTATACCCATCCCACCTTTGAGGGGGAAAAAAATGCTGTGTCAAGAGTAAAGCATTCAGCTCTTCTGGCCACTGCATCTGGCTGGTGTAATGGTGTGGCTGCATAATGGCAAGTCAATGAGTTACCATTGCTGTGGAAAAGATGAGCTGTGGCAAAACAGAAATACTCTTGGTCCACAACAGGTGCAACAGAAGAAAAACAGGCTGGATTTTGTCACAGCAGTGGCTTCATACATATCCTATAGCTCAATTCATCAGGAGTGACTTGAGCTGCAGAGAGGGGCATGGACCTGCATGGACTCCCCATCTTCTAGGACAGACTCATCTCCACCTGACTTCCACACAACTTCCCTGCTCTGACCCTTCTTACATTTCAAGTGTGGGCTTGAAGGAGACCTTGCTGATGCCAAAAAGCAAGTAAGAGGTGAAATAGAATGCAGAATCCCACTGAAGCTAATGGGACCTTTTGCAGATAGGCCCTTTGCCCCTGGAGTCCTGTTTCATCAGCTCTCAACAAACTGCTGCACCCCGCTGATCGATGCGGGTTGAGTTGCCATCTGTCCTTAATCCAGAAATAATGAGTCTGCCGCAACTGCTTTATGAAGGATTTTGTTTTTCAAAGGCACTGGTTCCTATGAAGGTCATATACCCAACCCATGCCTACTTAGCAAAGTTTTTCTCAGCTGTGGCTTTGCAGGCCTGTAGGCCTTCTGGCTCCTTTATTCTCTTTAACTGGAGTAAGCTGTGGCTTACACCTCCACCCCCAGTGGCTCCCACCACAACCAGCATCTATCACCTCAATCCTTTAGCAAGGTATGGCTTTTATTTTTCATTTCTCAGAGCAGTCCTAGCTCCTCACATGAGTCTTGTATAGCATGGGAAGCTCCTGCTCTTGGGACTGCTCTGAGTGCTGTGGAGACTGTCATTCGGGGAGGCCTTTAATCTGGTTTCTAAAGAGCTTTTTGATCCTCCTCAGTCGGTTCTTATCATGATCACATACTAAAACAAATTACTTTTCACGCTAGGCTGACCCAATGCATCCTAATTCTCCACAGTTAAATGGAGAAACTTTCAGAATGGTCAGACTTAACTTTCAAGCTCATATTTGATATTTCTTGTTCTGAATCTTAAGTGGAGATGCCAGAAGAATAGGTCTTACTACAAATTAACTGAGAGAACTCCACTTAGAAGTCTCGTCCAAACACCCTTGATCTTTGGGAAGATTTGCATCCCAGTCTGGAGTTTATCTTTGCAGCTGACAGCTGCGATGTGTCTCAGATGCCAGTCAATCATGCCTTTAAATTTAACAGCAATTCCTTAAATTAGACACCAGTGACAACAGAAAAAAACAAAACCACCACCACCAAAACCCTAAGGAATCAACACAAAACAATCAATAGAGCACAGCAAAATGGTCTTTGCAGGCACATTGCATCCATCTCTAATTTTGTTTTTGGATTTAACCTCTCACTGACCCCAGCTGCAGACACTTCTGGTTGGC